AACAATATGTCAACAACCTCTATAAATAGTTTGTTTATGGTTTGAAAAGGTCAAAGCTAAAAGTGAATGCACACAACCTTTTCGAAAATTTCAAATGTCAAAATTGGGGAACAAAACAATTGAAACGCAAACCTAAATCTGAAGTCAGAATTAAAAGATAAACATGTACTATAGTTCAATTTACTAACATTTGAAATGATTTATAAATATTTGATAAATGCATGCACTTACATTTTTTTATAATATTTGAGTAACCAATTGAAGGCATGTAGTTAAATTTTGTTATAACTAGTTTATGAATTTTTCATAAAAGAAGTTATAAAAGAGAGAGAAATGAGAGAGGAAGTTAGATTCAAATATGGCTTTAAACTCCCTTATTCCTGGTTTAATATATATATATATATATTTAAAATCCATTTCGAACTTAAGGTATGTAAATTTTGGGACGGACCTACATGTAAATCAGGGCAATTGCCTCTCTTAATCTTATTTTTTTATATTTATTTTTAGTAATATACCCTTGCACCCACCTGAAATTACTAAAAATATTCATGATCGCCTACTCACCTTTTTTTTAAAAAATATATACATATATTATTTTTTTCTATAAAAAGATAAAAATAAAATAGTATATTAATAAAATAAAAGAGGGGTATATTGAGGTGGGTTTAGCAGAACTAAACCCAAACAGAAACCCCAAAAAGGAACATGGCAATAGCCCAACCCCTTACATATCTTAAAGGTCAAGCCCAACCTAAATCTTAGCAGAAGAAGCAAGGAAGGAGCACTTTGCCGAAGAAACAATGGAGGGAGATCCCATTCATGCATTAAACGGTTGGTAATCTCAAAAATATTCCATTTTGTACTCATGAGCTTAATTAGCACTAATGGTCTCTGTAATGACTTTCAAAACCTGAGTAGAACTTGAAGTTCTTTCTTGAAATAGCCTTAGAATTTCTCTTTTCAGTTGAAATAAACGTTTTTTGTGAGATTATGTGGGACGAGAGTGGCTTCAAAGTTACTTGATTGTTGTAAATTGTATTGCTTCCGTTGTGCTCAACAAATAACAGTTCGGTTTCCTCAATCACATATGGTCGTCAAAGGAGTTTTGGCCTTTAGCCAAAGTTTGCTCCCAGCCTAAAAGAATAGTAGGTTCATTCTCTCAACTCGGAAAAGAGGATGTGGTTTTGCTCTCGCTCCCAGCCTAATAAAAAGAAGAGTAGGGTTGAGCTTTGCCCGGAAAAAATTAAGGGTATGTTTGGATTGAGAGATTTGGAGTGATAGTGAGAGAAAAGAAAAGAATGGATAATGTAAATTGTGTTTGAGTAGATAAAAATAAGAGAAAAGAAAGGATAGAGAGAGATAGCTATCTCTCATTATCCCTCATTTTCTATCTCTCCAAAAATGAGAAGATAGGGAGAAAAAGGATAGTGTTTAAGTAATATTTTCATAATTCTGAAACTACCCTCAACAATTAAAAGGAAAAATTATTATTCCACTCATATCCCATCTATTTTAAAGGATATGATAGTAATTTCATTGTTATCAATTCTCTTCTTTTCTACTCTCTATCATATCCAAACAAGAATATTATACTTTCTTTTCTATCTATCCAAACATAAATAGAAATTATTGCTATTCTTTCTTTTCTTTTCTCCCCTTCCTAAATAATGTTATCCTTTCTTTTTTTTTCTTTTCTGTCCTACTTATCCAAACGCACCCTAAGTCAGAATCATGATGAGGTACATTGACAGAGTTCGAATCAAAGCGGAACCGTGAGAGACAAGTGGGTGAATTGTTAGATTCAGTTGCTGTAGAAAGCGTTGGGATTCAGAATTTCAAAATCAGTTATAGTATTCCTACATTATTACACTGAAATCTCTTCCTTTATATAGCCCTAAATTTGAGTCAATCATGTAAATCTTGATTTGTAATGCTTATCCTCTGTTAGGATAAAAATTATTTTTCAGTTTCTTGAATTAAAAATATCATGATCCATGTATCAAAAGAAAAAAATCCAGACGTATACAAGCGAAACTAATAAATGTAAAATAAAAACTCTTTGGGCCCAAATTGAAATTGCAATAATTGAACCCTGGCAGTGGTTGACTTCTGTACCTGACAGCCACCATTGAAATTTCCAACCACCATACATAAAATGTGGAACATAAAATGAATATGAATGGCGTGAGTAAAGCAACTTTATGCGGCATATCAACTCAATTTATACCACAACTTTTTAATTTCGTACCATCATATATGACATCCACATGAGAGTTTAAATTATTGATATTTATACTCTTTCCTTAAATATTTTTTCAAAGATTTTAATTTAAGCAAATATATGTGGATGTATATATATATATATATATATTTATTGTTCACAAAAATTCATAACATTAAGCTGACTTTCTTCTTGTTAACTCATTATGTCTTATCCTAATCTTCCAAATAAATTTCTGGCTTCCAAGCAATATACTATGAAGATTCCTTTTGATAATTCGTTTTTTATAGTATATATAATAATTTCTTTGGTTGTGAAAAGGTTGTTATAATTTGTACAAGTCCAATGCGGGTCCTACATACAGAGAGTAGTCATCTATCGTGTCTTCTGCAATTTGTATTTTTGCTAATAATGCAAGGGACAATTACTATTAAACAACTCAATTACCGTTTGGGAGGGGTGAGAGAAATAAATGGAAGAAAAGGTTCTAGGAATGACGAAAGATCAGCTTTCTGTCCATCTTTCAGACTTGCAGAATAAATGTATTTTCTTAATAAAATGAGAAAGATTTAAATTTTTCCAATAATATTATGACTTGCATAGAATTTTTGTCTTAAAATTAAGATTTGAAAAAAATTGTATTTTCCTAATTTTTTTCAAATCTTAATTTCAAGAAATCAATTTCTTGCAACCTATCATAGTATATGAGAATTTTTGGCTAAGATCAAAAATAAATAAATGAACAAAAAAAGTTTAAAATTTTGTTTTATATAACACAATATGGTTAAAGGGGTGGTTTGGGGCGGAGAAATCCAACTCCATCCCATCCTCGTCCCGTTTAGCATACCTCCACATTCATCGCCTAAAATCACTTATTAATTTAGGCGGTTGGGGACGAGAACAAATTTAAGGAAGATAATATTACATAAAAATTCTAAAATCAAGGAAGATAAATAATGAAATAATTTTTAAACAAGGATAATCATTCTTTCTTATGATAATAATATTAGTATTAAAATTCTCAATAGCAGCTTGAAATTCAATATTATTCTAGAAACATCAAAATAGTACATAAAAATTCTGAAATAAGAATAATATAATAGGATATCAAGTTATTTGAATATAATAATCTAAATTTTACTTAATATTTTGTAATATAAAAATAAAATTATAATTTATTACTATAAACATAGTTTCCCTCCCCAATCCGCAACTACACGAATTTTTAATCCTAATTCTATCCCTACTCTCGACCTTCCCTCTCTCATCTACCAAACAATATATATAAGTATATTCCATCATTCTTGTCTGTCTCATACAACCCCCTTCCTCCTCTCAAGCATTACAAAGGAAAATAATAGTTGACAACAACTGAAAAGTTTGGCATTTCACTTATATATATAATATGAATTGAATTCTTGTTCTTCATATTTTCTTAGAGGAGAAATGCTACATATTATGAAATCCCATAAAGGGTATATATAGATTCCAGTCACATGTTAAAAATTTCAATTTTATAAAGTGTGATCTCTTTATTGTAATACGATTAGTGTTATCATTGAGGTGAGGTGATATAAAGGGTCAGGCCTTAAAGTGCCCGCCATTCTATTGATCCTAATTTCGATTCCCTCTCCCCCAACTAACTACTATCCAAGATAATTTTTTTTAAAAAAAATGTTATCATTGAAATTCAAGCACATAAAATAATAATATATTTTAAAACCATGTATAAGAAAATTGTTAGATTCTAATCTAATAAACCCGGTCTTTCAATTTACATTATCCAAGATATAAGATGAAATTAGCTAGTGCCACTAAATTTTTTGTTACAATGAATGCATTTTAATGATGAGTCTCAATTTCCTTTATTTCTTGAAGATTTCAAATTTTATTTTCTCAATATCATCTTCAATAAAATAAATAATAGTTACCAATAAATTGGGTATCCACAAACAAAATCTGCAATCAATTACTCACAAAAAATAAAATAAAATAAAATAAAATAAAAACCCTAGTACATATGAGGCTATTCAATCCTAATAACAAGTTTATTAAGTTGAGTTGAACTATTCAATCCTAGAATTCTACCCAAACAATAAGGTTGTGTTACCATAATACATAATGTACTATTCAATCCTAATAACAAGTAATATTATATATTTATTTTATCTCCTATCTTTTGTAAATTTTTATGTTTCACCTTTTGCCTTTGGACATGATATAAAAATAGGTGACGGATCTCACGACATGATATAAAAAATATCGAATTCAACCAGCATATAATTATTTTAAAATTAATATTTAATTTTTTTTTTTATACTATATTATATTGTATTAAAAAAAGTAGGGACATATATGACATTTCACATAATTTTAAATTCAATTTATATTTATATAATTTGACCTAATCTAAAAGGATATTAGTGTAATTTACCATAAGTGTTTTCCACCCTTCATGGCCCACAATTAAAATTGATGTTCAAATATTTTAAAAATACTCCTACATTATTACATTTTCATGGATTAAAAGTGTTTATGGTCCACAATAATCTACTCCGTATTATTTATTTATTTATTTTTGTCTTATTATTTTCTCCTATTAATACTCTCCTGAATTCAATTTTCTCAGTGAAAAAAAAAAAAAAAAAAATCAATTTTCTCAATTGGAAGGTCTTAATTAGTTAATTGAAAAACAGACCAGGCGGCTAATGGTCCAGCACCATCAATTAACTTCCCACAAAATAAAAATAAAAAATCTACCTCGTATACGCTGGTATAATTTTCCCACATTGAAAAAGCCAATCATTGCGGCGAAGATTCAGATTGCACAGACGTACCAAAGCTAGAGAGAGAAACAGGGAGAGATAGAAAGAACAGAGAGTTGGGTCACGATTGCAACTCATACCACACGAGTCGGTTTAGGGTTCCTCGAAGCATCTCATTCTCTCAACCCAACCCAAGCTATGTAAATAACAAGAACAAATTTCACACAATTCTCCGTTTCTTTGTTTCAATCGATTTCATTTCCAAAACTCACCCTAATTGATGGACTCTTCTGTTCGATCCTCAATCGTTGCTGCTATTGAACTTTTCCGGCACTTGTTCTGTTGATTTTGTTGACAGATTTACAAAAACCCTTTTGTGTTTTTCTCTCTCTAAAAACGCAGAAGAAAAGATGAGTGTGGCCAAGTCTCAGGTGTGGCAACCTTGCAAGAAGAAGAGATCTTGATTTTGTAGAAAGAAATCGAAAGCGATATATATATATAGAAACAATGGATGGTATCTGTATCCAAGTCTCAGCTGAGGCAGACTCGTAGAGGCAAGTTCTTGAGGTCAGAGAGTGAGATTTTGCAGAAAGAAAGAAACAGAAAACCTATCGTTACACACACACACACATATATATATATATACATATAGAGATAGAGAGAGAAGTGATGGCTTCTCGTTCAAGCGGTCCTGGTCGAACGCGTGTGGGGAGGTATGAGTTAGGACGGACATTAGGTGAAGGAACGTTTGCGAAGGTGAAGTTTGCTCGGAATGTAGACACTGGTGAGAACGTCGCCATAAAGATTCTTGATAAAGAGAAAGTTCTGAAGAATAAGATGATCGGACAGGTACTCTGTATATATGTATATTTATTTATTTATTTATTTTTTTCTGATTCGATCTTCCTCAGATGGCAACTTTTCTTGGATTATGTTTGTACGGAAATTCCATTACCGATTGACTTTTCAATGTATTGACGTGTGTTCTTCACTTTTTGGTAGCATATTTTATTAGTTGCTGTAATTTTTTAATTAATTAATTTAGTTGTGTGAAAATTGTTGAGTGGGGTGTTTGGAGGGAGAGAAAATTGACTTAAGAGAGAAAGAAAATTAAATTTGAAGTATTTTGTATTTCGTGGGTTCCTTTATAAGAATATTATTTACAAAGTAGAAATTTCTTAAAGTTATTTTTCCTCCAGTTTCTATGCAAACAAACAGAGCAGAACGGTTCTTTAGCTTTTAGATTTGCAGGCACATCCTGGTAGACAAATCCTGAAACTTAAGTTTGATTGAATGTTAGGTTCTGTTGCCATTGAAGAAGTTTTCTGCTTTGATAAAATGTTTTTGTTGTCTGTCAAGAAAGACATCTTGTAATTTTACATATTCTAGTTCCTAGCTTAACATTTTGTGTTATATTAATAACATGCACGCACCATTATGTAAGCTAGTCTTTTCGACAAATTGAAGATTCTTTTGATTTGAATCTGAATTTCCCCAAATATATATATGGTAGTCGTCTAATCTAGCTTTTTTTTTTTGGCAGATTAAACGTGAGATTTCCACCATGAAACTAATTAGACACCCAAATGTCATCCGTTTGCACGAGGTTAGAATGCAGCCCCGTACTGTATTATCTCTTAAGTAATGTGTGTGGGGCTTCTAGTTCGATTTACAATTTTTTCTTGAGAACTTCATATAATTCTTGAGTGACTTAAGATTTGCTGGTTGTAGGTGATGGCCAGCAAGACAAAAATATACATCGTCTTGGAATTTGTGACTGGCGGTGAACTCTTTGATAAAATTGTAAGATGGTGATTGTTTCAGTTTAGCATTTGATTCCTATGGCAATCCTGTTCTGTGCAATTGCTAAAAAGTGGTTCTTTGTGCTATTGTTTTTGGGCCAGGCTAGTAAGGGGAGGTTAAAGGAAGACGAAGCAAGGAAGTATTTTCAGCAGCTCATTAATGCAGTGGATTACTGTCACAGCAGAGGAGTTTTCCATAGAGACCTGAAGGTGATAAATTATTCTTTTATTATTTTTCTACCCTTAAATTTATTCATTAAAGCCTCGGGTTTGACAAAGAAATAAACTATACCAATTTAAGCCTTCATATGGTTTGTTTTTCACAGCCAGAAAATCTACTGCTTGATGCAAATGGAGTTCTTAAAGTTTCAGATTTTGGATTGAGTGCTCTACCTCAGCAATTCCGAGTGAGTATTAGGCTTTTGATGGGAATGTTTTCTTTATTAAATCTTATCTGCATTCCAGTTGTAAAAAATGTGCAAACTTCAAGGAACGCCACCTCATTATCTTTTGCCTGTACCTATGGCATCTCATTAATTCAGTTATTTCTTAAGGATACTGTAGTGGACCATTTCATACTTTTATCATGTATACATATGTATGTATTATGGACAATTTATAATAATTCATAAAAGAGTTCAAAACTGAGTTTGTTAACCATTTTCATTCAGGAGGACGGATTACTACACACAACATGTGGAACTCCAAATTATGTAGCTCCTGAGGTATATTGGTAGCTTCTGGCACAATTTATTATATCTTCTCTCTTCTGAACCATTGGATTTTCTTAGTGCTTTGACACTTTACGTTTGTAGGTGATCAACAATAAAGGCTACGATGGGGCTAGGGCAGACCTGTGGTCATGCGGTGTAATCCTTTTTGTCCTTATGGCAGGCTATTTACCTTTTGAAGAATCGAACCTCATGGCATTATACAAAAAGGTTGACTTTTTCTTGGTACTCCTGTCTTAGATCCCACTTATAGTTTTAATTTTCAAAGCTTTGCGAATTATGTATCATGGTGTCTTACTTTCTCTTGCACTATGTTTCTTCGAGGCAGTTAAATATTTAAAGTATCACTCAATATTTTATTTTGAGGACTCCGACTAAACAACTTGATTAAATGTCATTATCTGTGCCAATTTCAATTTCATCCACTCAAATGATATAACCTTCTCAAAGTTCCAGCTTGAATAGGCTTTAACCACTCAAACACTCATTCGTGTCATTGGAATCTTAGCAGACAAAGAAACGGTCATAATGAGAAATGAATTATACATTTGTTGTGTTCGGTTGCATGGAATTGATGCCGAATTGGAGAAAAATTACTTTAAACTTTGAACTTAATTTTCTACGATTCTGATTCCCAGGCAGTAATTCATAAACTGAACCTAGCAATGTGTTTATCAATGGGATTATTTGTGTAAACAGCCCATGTAGTTTTGTAACTTTGAACTTAATTTTCTACAATTCTGATTCCCAGGCAGTAATTCATAAACTGAACCTAGCAATGTATCAATGGGATTATTTGTGTAAACAGCCCATGTAGTTTTGTACATTTCTATTTAGTCTAAGTGGTATTGTGATAGAAGTGGCTCAATTTTTCTTTCAATGTTTTAGATCAAATGCAGGTTGATGTCTGCAATTTGCTTTAATATCTCTTGGTGTAGTGAGCTACATAATTATTTAGCTGCCACCTAAAATCTGAATAATCCTATCTCCCAAAGCCCCAAATAATGCATGCTTTGTAAAAACAAAGGAAGAGAAAAGATCACAGAGAAGAAATTATACTAGGCATGAGGTGCATTTGTCATGGTTTACATGTCTGAGCAACCTCTGTAGTATAAATGCCCTGTTTTCTCTGGGTTGGCATCAGATTATTTTATGCATGTATGCTTTATAAGTGTATGCTGTCTTGGGTGGCTTACTTTTTTAAAGTTGAAAAGCTTGCTATATGAGGACTGTACATATTTTCAGATATTCAAGGCAGACTTCACATGTCCTCCATGGTTCTCCACCAGCGCAAAGAAACTAATCAAAAGAATCCTGGATCCTAATCCCTTGACGGTATGTTCACTTGTCTACTATTTTTTTGATTAATGTGCAGCAATCTTCCTTTGAATTTTTATTTGAGTATGATGAATTCTTCATGTAAAAAGATTTGTGTGTCCACTGCGTTATGCCACTTGTAGTTTCTTGTATGCTTTATAATTCATTGCTATATAATTTTATGTTGTGAAACAGCGCATTACGATCGCTGAGATCCTTGAGAATGAGTGGTTTAAGAAGGGATACAGGCCACCTAGTTTCGAACAAGAAGATGTTAGTCTCGATGACGTGGATGCTATTTTTAATGAAGCTGGGGTAATTAAACTCTTGTTTATGTCAATTTTAGTTGGAAGCATTTTGACTCTTGTATTCTCTTGATTAATATATATGAAGAGTGGGAATCAAATCATTTTGCATTCGTTCCTTTTTGATGTACAGAACTCTCAAAACCTTGTTGTGGAGAGGCAGGAAGAGCGGTCTGCTACTCCTGTCACTATGAATGCTTTTGAACTTATCTCTACATCTCAGGGTCTCAACCTCGGTTCTCTTTTTGAAAAGCAAATGGTGTGTTGTTGTCTTGTAGCTTTGATTATAGAGCTTGGTACACAATTATTAGATATTGGAGATTTTTACAATCTGATTATTCAATGCATTTATGAATTAAAATCATAGCTACTTATTTATTTATTTATTTATTACGAATGGATTATTATCACATTTACAATCCTGGTCTGTGAATTATCGTTAAACCTTTCGTTACTTATTATATGACTGTTAAAAATCACTTGATCGAGGTACACCACACTCATTATCTCCTTGTAGGTCTTGCTAATTCCAAATTTTTGTAATAGTACAGCTGGTAAATTTATTGGAAAAAATTTCTGACTAAAAGTGCAAATATTAATTTTCATTCTGCATGCTGCCCCCACGATCTCATAGTTAATTCAGCAATGGCTGTCTGTTCAAATCCGATCCAATTCTGAGCTTGCCAATGAGTCAAAAAGAAAACCAGAACAAAAAACAAAAAGATCTTTGACCTTGTTTATAAATGTGAAGTTTAAGATGGTCTACATTTGTTTTGATGAGTAGGGGCTTGTTAAACGGGAAACAAGATTCACATCTAAACGTCCAGCCAAAGAGATTATCACAAAAATTGAGGAAGCTGCTACACCATTGGGTTTTGATGTAAAGAAAAATAACTACAAGGTATCATAGCATTCTGTTTCTCTGAACCTTATTTATCTTCTTCTTTTTGCTATTCTTTAAGTATTTTTTATTTTCTTTTTCAGATGGCAGTTTACCAAGTTCAATAAATTTTTATACAACTAATCAATATAAAATACTTACACACAAATATATATATGTATGTATGAAGAATATTGGTATCTGAGTCCTGATTCCTGATTCGTTGCCTATGCTCTTTGTATTTTTGCTTTTCTTCTTACAAAAGAATCAGTACAACAGGACTGGAATGAACTTGGTTTTGATATTTGCCTGGTCCTTTTGAACAAGCTTGTAATCACATGGGACCAACTGGTGCTGAGTTATTACTAGTGGAATTTGATTTTGATAATAAACACTGAATTTTTCGAGGCTTATCTTCTGAATGATGGTGATACATATGGAGTTAAATTTTGATGACACAAGATTTAGGAACTCCAATTTTTTTATGTAATTACCAAACTGTTCTCCCTCTCCTAACAAAACCCTTATGATCCATCTCAGCTGAAGCTTCAAGGGGAGAAAACTGGGCGTAAAGGTCATCTATCCATTGCAACAGAGGTACAGTTTTTCCAAGCACCTTCCTTGTTCTTTGGCTCTCACATTGACTGAAAAACCACTAGAGCATTATTCAGAGCAATCTGAAAACAAATTTTGTCCCACAGATTTTCGAGGTGGCTCCATCGCTTCACATGGTTGAGGTTCGCAAGTCTGGAGGAGATACCTTAGAATTTCACAAGGTATGGTATCAAAGTCTGAAGCTCACATGCATTTTCTGTTTACTTACATATGCTTAGCGTCAATAAGATCAAACACGTACTGGTTGAGGTTCGCACAGAATGATTTTTCAAATTGTGGGTTGTCTGGCGGATCTGGGAAGAACCTGAAGTTGCCACCCCTTTACCTGGCATCATTGTACCGTGCTTTGTAGCTTCTTCTTTTGTGTGCCCGTGAGAGAGTGTGTGTGTGTGTGTGTGTGTGTGTGAACGTGCATGTCCATGTTCTTCTATCCATATTACCATCTCATTTTTGTACTTAATTTGGAATGCACAGTTTTACAAGAACCTATCGGCTGGCTTGAAAGACATAGTCTGGAGTTCAGGAGATCAAGCAAAAGAAGGAGCAAATGAAGGTTAGTTATAATTGTGTGGCAGTTACTAAATACTTTGAATAAACAGTGAAATGATCAAGTTTGAGATTGTATATAACAAATATGCACTGCTTATACTATTTAAAATGAAAAACTACTTTTGCATTGAAATTAGATTTGCCAAATGATTGGAATGTCCTTGTGATCATGTACTGATGTACATGTTTGCCATATGCACATGATATGCAGAATATATGGCTATGATCATACTTCACTAAAAAATTATACAATAAATTTTAAACTTCATCCATTGGTCTGATTTCAGAGTATAAATGGACCTTGTTTACAAAGTTAACAAGTTAATGTCCAGGAGAGAATCTCCTTTAATAGGAGATAAGGAATAGTCAAGCTAGTTTGTACTTTGTACATATTTCGCAAAAAGTATTGTTGATGCCTTCCAAATAATTACTTTGAAGATACGAATTAGATTTGTTGTTCACTGTTCGCAGGTTCTGGTATTGTGCAGTCTTGATTATTGGCTCCTTTCGAGGTTTAGAACAGTGGCGTTCCATTTCGATGATAGAAGGCTTGCTGCAGTTCTATCTTAATTGTTTGTATTGATCACATATATTACCTCTGGGTTGCTCTAATATATGTTCCAATCATTTCCAGTCTTGACCTTGTGAAACATGATGCTCATTTATAAGACACCTATGATTTGGGGTTGGATCAAACAACAGTTTTGTACCATTTAATTCTAGATATGGATGTGTTTCATAGGGGAATTGGTTTTCGGATTTTATGGATCTGATTTCACCAATTTTGAAATTAAATCTGTTTGAAAGCTTACAAAAGAAACTACGTATTAGATGGCAGAAGAACCAAAACTTACTTGGAGGATTGAAAATGCTGTGTCTGCTACATACCTGCGAATATGTAGCAGAACGCAATGTGCTAAACCAATATATCTCTCTTAAATAAGATTCAGAAAACATAAATTAACTTGCACTCCATTAAAATTTATAGTAAATTATATTGCAGTAGAGGAGACCAATCCTATGATTTTCGACTTTCAAAGTTGTATTACAGGATCTGAAAATGTAAATAAATCAGATTTTCAAGTTCAATCTACACTAGTGAATTGTGAAGGTAAAACTCATCATAATTTGTATATCTGTATATATTACAACACTAAATACTAAAGATGAGCAAATACGTAATTGTCACACACTGGTATCTTTGCCCACTGTTGCATAAATGCTAATCCCAATTCTTAAGAATATATATATATATATATATATATATATATATATCTTTGAAGTTTGGAGCCATCATCTATTGCCCACTGCTGCATAAATGCTATTCCCAATTCGTACTACTTATTTCAGAGACCAGATAAAATTGGAACTAGAAAACATTGTGGAGCTCTAACCTTGTGCTTCCAATTTTTCTCCGAAAAGTTACCACACGACCTTCTGGTTTCCACACACTCCTCTTTCCTATGCTGTTCAATGCTCCAATTTTTCTCGGAAGAACTTTGTGTTTGAAACTTATCTTTAGCCCATGCAATTGCTTCATCAACGCCAAGCTCTTCGCTTGTCCATTCCCTATGGTCAGGATTAATCTCAATGACATAAGAACTCATCACTTCATCCTCCTCTTCTTGTTCCATTTCTTCTTCTTGCAACACCCTTTCTTGAACTTCACTGGCTTTGACCTCTGAGTCTTGACAAACTGAAGGAGAATTGAGTTCAAGATCATCCATGGATACCTTGACACTTCTATATGAATCGGGTTCAATTGTAAAAGTCTGTGGGGCTGAAACTCGTCGCGAGAATCCAGAATGGGAGCTTCTGAAATTCTCTTTGTATTCATTTTTGACAAATGGGTTTTCGGTATTTGAAGGACTGTTGCATGAAAAAACTGCCGTCTTCTGTTGCCTTGGGCTCTCCTTGGGCATCATTGTTGACGAGTTCCATCTACATGGGGCATTTATTGGTCTGAAAACAGAGTAAAACATGAATTATACTTGTTGTTCACTGTTCGCAGCTACTGGTATTGTGCAGTCTTGATTATTGGCTCCTTTCGAGGCTCCATTTCGATCATAAACGTTAGAACTTACATTATCAAGGAAAAAGGCTTGCTGTTTGTATGTCGCACATATATTACATGGTTTGATTTAATATATGTTCAAATTCTTTTGAGTCTTGAACTTAAATCGAGCTCAGTACCATTTAATTCTCGATATCAATGTGGTTTCATAAGGGTATTGATTTTCGGATTTTATGGATCTGGTTTCACCAATTTTGAAGTTAAATCTGTTAGGAAGCTTCCAAAAGTGGAAACTACAGAGTAGATGACCTTGACAAAATTTAACAAATTATAGCCAATTACATGCTCAGAGCTAATATAAAATCTCGTGCTGCCAAGTTGCTTGAGACATCCAACATTAGTGTCAGAGAAAATTAGGAAGGCCAAGCATGTGTCTTATGATGGTTTGCCCTCTATTTTACTAATATGTTCTGATGTGTGCGATTGGTGTCTATGCTGCCCTACACAATTTTTTTAGTTATAATGTATACTATTGGTGTGTTTAAATTTTTATTTTTATTTTTTTATTGTGGTTTTTTATGCACTCTCTATTAGTTTTTAAAGGTAACAAATCTTCTCTATTTTTCTTTATCAAATTTAACCATTTTAGTAGCTGTTTTATTAAACTTAACAAATAAAACAAATTGTAGGATTTATCAGTAGGTTTTGGAGTGTTTTAGGTATTACTGATTTGCTATGAAAGAACCAATCTGAAGTAAATCCAAAACAATTTTTTATCCAAATCTTGTAGAATTTCTAAATATTTTTTTTCATAATTTCTCTGTTATTTTCAAGGATGTATAAGGCTATATTTTTACTAGACCTTTAGAGTTTGTTAGTAACAAATGACACTACTCCCCAATTTATAGGCCTCAGATCTATTCTCTAAAATATCTACATTAATATCATACTTAATTATACCCTTCAAAAGTCTATTATTCTTGAAACCTTTCAACAAATCTATACAAAATCTCTAATGGTCTACAATCTTCCAACTCTCTTTGCAATCTCCACATTAATTTGAAACACTCTAGAACTTCACTCTTCACATGTACAGTCTTCCTCAATGCTCGCGTATTGTCTACATGTTACAACCTCTTTACAAGTAGTCGAGTAAAATTACATTTGGGAATACTAAATCGGCAACTTGAATTTGAAATTGAAACAAATTTAATTTAAATTTTAACTAAATTTTCTTCCATTTTAAATCTTAGGCACCGAATCGGTGCTCTCAAAGGCAATAATTACTTTTAGCATTACTGATAAAATTGTTAGTTGTGACTAAGCAATTGAATCATTTATCATTTTAGCCTATTGATGAAATAATGAAACCAAATGATCTTTTCCCAATTCATTTTTCAGTTGGGATGTACACATGTTGCTAAATCAGTTCAGAATCTTTAGATTAGTTGGGGTTTGAGTTTGAATGCCATGAATAAAAATGTTCAGACAAGAAAGTGCCCGAGCATGTCCAATGGTACTCATAATATCATGACGTCATTTTTCATTTAATTGGCAACATGGTGCCATGACAGTCTGATAAAGTTTGGACCCTCCGTTGTACAAGAGAGAATGCAACAATTCCCTTTCTGAGTCTTCTCCATTGTATGATACAGGTAATGTTGCATATATATACTAAATACCCAAAAAACAAAAAACAAATATGTAATTTAGTTTAGGAAATACAATCCAAAAATCATATATTACAAGTGAAATGCCATCAGAGGTCGCCAACTTGCTAACATGATTCGGTACTCCTCAACATAGCTTCAGTATTGTCATCTTCATCTCCACTACTTATCTAGATATTTTGTGAAAAAACACGTATGATATACAAGCTTGATCTGATTGATAGTAAAACAGCAGAGTATTATACAGAATTCAGATGACGAGAGCTATTTGTAGTAACATAAATTCTTATTATTTAACCCTTCGTTCTACCTATAGCCCCTTCTGAATATCCAAATGTGCCCCTCATATGAGTTAATGAAATGAGTTCCAAAGGGTTGAACACCCTCTAGCTAAAGCAGACGTCTTGGGAGATAAATGCAGCCCATGCACCCTGTATCCACACAAAGAATTAATGTCAGAAAGCATCACCCAACATAAATTCCAACAAGATGCCACCAAAATTAGGATATCTAGTGGCCTGCAAAGGTAAAGGTTGCATCCATCTAACCCTCCCAGATCCTGCAATGGCGGAAGCCTCATGCATTGGGCTAGCCCTAGTTTTGACAGCTGTTATTTCATATACTTCATTCCCTTTTATAAGACAAGGAAGGCCCACTAGTACATCACATATTGTATAATTTTCTCAGTACAGCTTTGCCTTTACTAATAGGTTTCATGTTACGTCAATTCGAACTTGCTCGATCTGTTCAATTGCGACCTTATAATGCAATCGCATTCTCTGCTCCAATTGCTGTTTTTGTTTCTGGAACTTTTTTTTGCCTTGGAATCAAAATTTGGTCCTTTACAGGATTTTGTCTTCGTGTTTATCGTAGTTATATTTAGCACATAGGTTTTTCAACAGTTGCAGAAGAACCAAAACTTACCTGGAGGATTGAAAATGCTTTCTCTGCTACATATTTTTGTGGAAGTGTCGCACCTCTTTGCTGCAGCTTGTCGGGGTGAAGGCACAGTCTTGCTTTCTGGTAAGCCTTCTTTACATGTGAGCTCTCTATGAGATTTGTTAGGGATATTGCATGCCAGCCACTATTGGGCCATAGAATCTGATTCAAACGTCAAACAAATGGTTAATCACATAGCCACTCACATATCACTAGAACTCTTAAAACAACATAATGTAGTTGTGTTTGGTTCTCATAAACAATGAATTGGAAGGGAAAGGAAAAGAGAGAAAAATTAAATTATTTCCTTTGATGGTCCAGGGAAAATAAGAGAGGAAGCAAGTTACATTGTTTGGTTTCCAGGAGAAAGATGAAGAGAAAACAAATATAACTTGAAAAGGACAATGTTCATAACAATCTCCCATCATGAAAAACCTTAGTAGCTTCCATTACAAAAGGTAAACAAAGTAAAAATATAATCACATAATTCAGTAAGTTTTAGTTTTTCTTCCACTTCCTGTCACCAATTAAACAAGAGAGAATAAAATCCCTTTAAATTTCTTTTTTTCTTTTTTTTTTTCGGTTGTGTTGTAAATGTCACACAGCGGGTATATGTATAATACTTGTGTTTGAGTTCTTACATGATCCAGTGTTGAGAGCAGCAGCCGGATGTTTGCTTCCTTTCCAGATGACCACGATCTTATATCTTCATCCAATAGCTCCATTTCCATCTGTTCTTTTTGCAAAGGAAGACAAGCATTGATCAAGAACTTGATTTTTGTCTCTTAAAAAAGAAGAAGAAGAAAGGTGCCAGGCCTTAGGTCAAGGTTTCAAGACTGGTAGAGAGATAAAAAAAAAGAAAAGAAAAAGAAACTGGTGCCAACCATTTAATGTGTCTAAATAAGATGCAGAAAACATAAATTAATTTGCTGTCCATTAAAATTTAGTAAATTATATTGCAGTAGGGGAGACCAATCCTGCGATTTTCAACTTTCAAAGTTACAAATTCACTTTATCACTTTACATTGGATTAAAGGATCTAAAAATATAAATATACCAGACCTTGAAGTTCAATCTACACCAGTAAATAGTGAAGGCAAAACTCCTCAACTGTTGAGGAAATATTGGTGATATGCATCTTTACAGAAATTTCCTTGGCAGACATGTAACAGTAGAGATTGCTCGCGTGAAAATATAAATAAACACAAATAGAGGCTCTTTAGTTTATATATATTAGAACAAATAAATATTAAAGATGATGCAATATGTTGTTGTCAGACACTTGTAACGCAGCTGTGTCTGTGTGAATTAAGCTTATTAAATACTATTAAGAAGTAGAGGCTTGGTACCGCTAGACCACTGGTCTGTTGGTCATACTGTTTTCATTTTATTTCTATGTAAACAATGTTCCCAATTGTATGGATCTTCTTTTGACATACATTAATCGTACTCATGGGTAGAAGCTTACATCTTTTTCCAGTTGTTGTTTTCCTTCTTCTGTTGCACATTTAATTGGTTCTTTTTCCTGCTAGAGAAGGAAAAGACATTAAAAGTTAATACAGTGACCCAACTACTCTAATTTTTCAAAAATAATGGTCTATAGGTACAAGTTCACAAATGGGAGATACAAATTCTTTAGAATATATCTTTGAAGTTTCAAGCCACCATCTATTCCCACTGTTGCAGAAAGACTAATCCCAATTTGTACAGCTTATTTCAGAGACCATATAAATTGGAACTAGAGAACATAATGGAACTAGAGAACATAGTGAAGCTTTTAATTGAATTAATATAGCTTAACTTGTAGTAGGTACAGTGTCCTATGGTGCCGTTTATCAATGTCAACTATGTTTATCAACATAAGCCAAATTTATCTGGTTTCACAATACAAAATTTACCCACTTGAGATCGCATTGATCCATTTCCATCTGTCTTTGCAGCGGAAAATCCATATGCATTAGCCCTTTCTGCAGAATTTCCAAAATCATCCTCTTATAAGAACAACTCACATGTTAATATTAGTTAAAATTATAAGAAAAGTTACCACAACCTTCTGCTCCCAAACACTCCTGTTTCCTATGCTGTTCAATGCTCCAATTTTTCTCGGAACAATGTGTTTGAAACTTCTCTTTAGCCCATGCAATTGCTTCATCAACGCCAAGCTCTTCGTTTGTCCTTTCCCCATGGTCAGGATTAATCTCAATGACATAAGAACTCATCACTTCATCCTCTTCTTGTTCCATTTCTTCTTCTTGCAACACCCTTTCTTGAACTTCACTGGCTTTGACCTCTGAGTCTTGACAAATTGAAGAGACAACAGATGAAGGAGAATTGAGTTCAAGATCATCCATGGATACCATGACACTTCTGTATGAATCAGGTTCGATTGTAATGGTCTCTGGGGAGGAAACTCGTCGCAAGAATCCAAATTGGGAGCCTCTGAAATTCTCTTTGTATTCATTTTTGGCAAATCGGTTTTCGGTATTTGAAGGACTGTTGCATGAAAAAACTGCCATCTTCTGTTGCCTTGGGCTCTCCTTGGGCATCATTGTTGCTGAGTTCCATCTACATGGGACATTTATTGGCCTGAAAATAGGGTGAAACATGAGCAGTGTTTTATAATTTATTTGCTACGTATTGGAAATCAATTTGAATCATAGTGCATTATAAACAAGAATTTTGTAATTTAATACTTCTCAAATTGTAAGGGTTGCTTGTTATACTTAGGAATGTCTTCAGCACCAGGAACCTTACAATATGTTTATTTGATTTAGGAATAGTACTATTTCACTTTATATTTCCCAACCTTGACATAACATTACGCTGAGTCAACTTTTAAAATCCCAAATAGCAATTTACTTACAAAATATAACTTGACTTGTGACTCCTCGCATTGTATTGAATAGAAGTTGTTAAAAATAATTTTTAAAAAAATTATTTCATATTTATGTAAATTTAAAAGTGTCAATGAGGATTAAAAGCTTCAACTATATAAATGTTACATCACAAAATCTTAAGAATTAGATTAGAAGATTGAAGAGATTTCGAGTCAACCCAACACAACCATTTTCCCAAATAAAATGAATTTATTGTATTTTTCATTCTTACTATTTTAGAAATCGTCATAACCAACAATCATTAGGTACAGTAAAAATATCTAGAAATTGTCTCTATAAAATTCCGTAGGCGTCATGTGACAAAAATAACATCAACTAGTCATGTCATTCTTGTCAACTAAAAGGGCAAAAAGGTCATTAAACCTCATAACGGACTATCAGCTTCCCACTCCCGCGATTGCAGGGATTGAACGATCCCATACTTTACCATGACCAAATTACCGCTACAGACTTCTAAAAACATTACCAAAATCCCGGTAAATCAATTCAAACAGTAGGGTCAAATACGTCATATTCACTGAACTAATACATAACAGTTGATAACCGACACACCAGTGAAAAGCTAGTCACCTGAGCTTTGAAGCAAAAACAGAGAAACCAACATCGTCGGCGACCGCCGGCCGGAAAGGACTGAGATCCTCCGAACTCAGTACGGACGACGAAGTCGACTTCGAGTTCGTCTTCGACTTTGATCGCGACCTCGATCGCCGGTAATCTTCATCCGAACCAAATATATCATCATAAAAACCTTCGCTTTTCCGATCCCCAACTCTGCTGGCCGGAATTCTGAACTCCGGCAAATTCCGGCCACTCCTCGCCGTAGACACATCCTCCGGCTGCCGGAAAATCTCTTCGTAGAACAGAGTAGAACTCGTGAAGTCGCTGGAGAATCGGCTGCACATGACGCTCCGAGGAGGCCCTCCGAAGACGTCATTGAAGTCGACGTCGGCCTCTATGGTTTCCGAGTAACCGAAAACCATTCGCCTTGACGTTTCTTCAGTTGATTTTCTCCGAGGTAGGTTCAGCTTCGTCGTCATTCCCATTCGCATCCTCCACGACTCGTCCATTTTCCGGCGAGCTTCGCAGGTGAGTTCGCCGGAACTCTAGAGATAAGCACTTGTGTGTGTGCGCGTGTATGTATATATATAGTGGCAAAAAAGCTCCACTTGTGAAAAAGTAGTTCTTTTTTCTTGAATTAATATGTTTTTTTGGTCATATATATATATATATATATATATATTTTAATTAAGTAGTGATGATGATTATGGAGTAGAATTTATTAATTTACAATAGAAAGTTAAAATGATTATATTTCACACGCTTGCTTACCTGGAAAGATGTTTGGTTAGATGTTTGTAATTGTGTCTGTATGTGTGTGTATAAGCTTTAAAGTGGTTATTATGTAAAAAAAATTCCATATAAAACAAATATGAATTCCAATTAAGTTTTAGAGTGTGACTTGTTATCACATGCTGAATAGGAAAAGCTGGTTTGCAAATTCAGGTCCTTAGTAGTTAAGAGAATTAATTCAACATTAAAATTTAGTATTTAATTTTCAACAATAATTTTCATTCATGCAAATACAGGTCCTTAGTAGTTCAAGACAATTAATTCAACATTAAAATTTCAATCATCTAATTTTCAACTATAATTTTCATCCATGCAAATTCAGCTCTTCAGTTGTCAAGACAATTAATTCAACATTAAAATTCCAGTATTTAATATTTCAACTATATCAAATAGCACCTTGATTATATGAAGTATGAAAGCATAAATATTATCAAATTTCGAGTAAAAATAATGCCTCCATAAAAAGGTAACTTTTTCTTATAAATTTATACTCCATGGTAGAGAGCAATGAGAGCAAGTAATGTAGTATAATTTCTATTGCACCACATACACAAATGTAAGAAGATTTTTTTTTAATTTTTTTGACAGCTAATAAAGCTTAGTAATATTTTCTTGATTTCTCAAACTAATGAGAGTTTTTATAAAGGCAAAGTGGGTGCATGGGTCACTTATTTGAAATGAAAATAATAATAATTTTTTCATGAACAAAAAATTATTAATTACAACTGTTGTAACAGTTACGTGGAATAACAGACATCTCAATTTTTTTGTATGAAGATAAAATGTGATGTTGTGACCCGAATTTGATGCCGAGCGACCTGCTTATGACCTGACGATCCATCGGATGAGCTTTGTGTTGACCCGTTTTTGCTCATGAATCGTAAACCCTAATTAGTCTCTTATAACCCAATATATAAGGGCGCTTAGGGTTTGGAGTGGTGTAAGAGATAAGACTCTGAAATTCGTACGGAAATAAAAACAAATTGATGGACTGAAAATTTGTAATCTTCGATTTTACACATAGTGAAGACTTTCGCCAGAACTCAACCGTGGACGTAAGTTATTGTCGAACCAGATATAAATTTTTGTGTTTTTTGTATGGTTTGTTTACTTTTATGTCATAATTCTTAATTTTATTTTGAATTCGTTACGTTTGTCATAATATAAAATTTGTGTGCTCTTGTGAACTCCAAGGAGATAAACTTGATTATTTACCAATTTTCAAACAATAAGTAGAAATTGGATTTGGCATGGGAATGCACAAAATACTCTTGTAAGTTGTCTTTATTTTTATTTTTCTTTATTCTTTATGAAATAAATAATTCAAAATGCTTGAAAATGAATACATTTTGATTTTGAGTCTAGTTTAAACCTTTAGGTAGCCTAAAAAGATTGTTCTGTGGTGGGGGTCGACCATTTAGCTACTTGCATCAAATATAGTGATTGATTGGAAAGAGCAAAGAGTTCCCAAGCAAGGAAGAGTTTTTTTTTTTTTTTTCAAGAATGGAAGAGTTGAACATGAAAATAAAGATTTAATTAATAAACATTGTTTTTTAACAAAACCTAACTACCAATAAAATATTTTCTAACCTAACATTTATTATCTGCATAAACAAGTGTGACTTTGACCAACAAATTAAAAGTCAATCTACCATATCAAATGAATAAAAAATAGATTAATTGAAGCTAACCATTATGGAGTGAACACTCGAACAATGTGAAGGATTGTAGATTTTCAGAGGAAGAGCTATTATAAGGGTTCTCTTATATTTTTTAGAAATTTTAATTTTATGGTTTTTGATTGTCAAAAATTTAAGTTACCTTTGCCAAAAAAAATAAAAAAAGAAAAAGAAAATATTTTCCGAAAAAGATATTTTATGTTAAAACCAATGGAAAAGTAGAACTGTCACACTCTTGGTCTAATGGCTAATAGTGCGATCTTAGGATGAAAGTGCTTATTAGACTTACTCTTTCGTAAAAATTGAGTTCTCAAGAGAAAAAAGAAAGATAATATTTGAGTCGATAAGTTGGACCTAAAATACTAAAGAAAGATTTATTTATCTTTGAATATGTTTCGAGTGACACCCATGTATGTTTTAAGTCTAACTTGCTTAACTACCTCCTTTAGATGTGTCAAAGATGTTGAAATGATAAAACTGGAAGAAATAATGGAGCAAAGTAGTTTCCAGTTTTTAGATGAATGTTATATCTGCATTATTTAAGAGCCTACCAATACATATTTGATTGTTACCAACTTTCAAGTACCAACCTGATGTCCTGACCAAATAAATAAATAAATAAAGTTCCAATCTGATGAGCTATGTGACATAAAACCAACTATTTTAAAGACTCCTCTTGATGTTCTCTTAGAATATAGTATGCATGTGTTTATATTTGATCATTAGCCACTCCAAAACCTATTTGAAAAGGGCAAGTCCAATCAACAAAACTTTTACGGGCTCGGAGAAAATCAGATGTACATAGTCTTACTTTCACCTAAAGTGGTCGTTTCCGAGTTCAAACCCGTGACCTCCAAATCACAATGGAGCATCTTATCGGTGCAACTTACAGAATCCTATTTTGATTTTTGTTAAACACTTCAAAAGTTGAAAAATAGACAAATTAAGCCTCACTAGCTAAAATTGAATAATTGACTTTTGTTGGTTAAATTTGATTGAAATAGTGAGAAAAGTGAATTAGCTGTATTGAATAAAGGTGTTTAAACTGGCCAAAAAATAAAATAATATTAATAAAGGCGTTTATACAAAAGGTGATTAAAGGGTCAGGCAAGGGAAAGATGTATGATACCTCAAAAGGAGACAATGCATGCTGTCTTAGTTGATAGACATTAAGCTTTTTGCCTCACCTCTCTGCTTTTCCCCATCTTATCTTTTTTGCTTGAAAAACAAAGTTCATCATTAATCGTCCCACCAGAGATCATCATCAACCAGCCTTTTTCTTCATCCAGGACCCAACATTTTACTCCACTAAAATGCATATATATATATATATATATATATATATATACACATGCATATGCAAGTATTATAAATATACCGTTTCTCGCTATTTATTGTAAAATAAAGGAATTTGGATACAATGAAGATGTACACTTATTTTTTTATCCAGAACCTTTTTCTTTGGTCTGCTTCATGGTGTGTCATGTGGTCCAAAATAGAAACCAAAAGCACTACTGTATGATGTGGTGGGGGAGGTGGGAGCATGTTAATTATGGTGTTGAGTAGATTAAATATGATCACAGTTGAGAAAATTATATTAAATGGACTCTAAAACTGCAAGTATAGAATATAGATGAAGGCACAAATTGAACAATTTAAAGTCCCTCAAAAGTTCAACATCAGACACCACAGTCAAATAAGTTCACTTAACTTCTTCATCAGCCATTGGTCTGAATGGTATGACCTCTCTTTCTCAAAGGGGAATCAGTGTTGTGTGTGTGCGCGCACATTAATATTGTTGAACTGCCAAAGAAAAAAAAAATGAAACTTTCAGGTTTGGGCAGCGTTAAACTCGGCCTAGATTTTCTTAGGTCAATGACAAGCTAGCTGGAACCGAAATAATTTCATTTTGATGTTCTTATACTAGTATTAGCATTACATTAATGTAAACTACTTGCATCTTCCACTTGTTTTTTTCGTTAAATCTTCCTCTTAAGTTATAAGCACACAGGGAAGCAATGAACATATATATTCAATTGTGTTGGACATTACAAAAGAGGCGAAAATGACAGATCAGAATCAAATCACTTAAAACACATACATTGGACATGTAGCAATGTATATATATATACGTTGTTCGATACATTCAAGAAAAAAACCTTGGTGTAAAAAAAGCAATTTGGTATATATATTAGATTTGAGTGCTGCAGGATTTATGGAGTTACTCTTTTTAAATGGCTATTTGTAAGTGTCCTTCAACTTCATGCTATTCCACAGAACAATCATATTGTAGACATGCATAATTTTAATAACTACGTACGTACTCTTAATTTTGATGGCCATAGCATTGAAACAAATAAAAAAGATCGATCGCACTTCTCTCCATAGGTTTAAACTTTTTTATTAACATGGAATGAGATCAAGAAGGCATGCATTACACGTTTCCAATAACGCATAATACGTAACCTCAGATATGATAAATGGAAACATTCATGGGAAGACAACAATAAAACAAGAAGAAATCGCCAAAGAGTTGCATAAACATATATTGAACGCTGCTAATACATCTAAAAGGCATCCCATATATCATGGAACATTGCTGCAAAGATTCTAAGCATAGTCATCCATGATTGAGTGCAGAGAAATTAAAAGGACGTCAATTCAAAGCACAAACGATTATTATTCAAGTTGTCAACATCTTAAAGTGACATTATTGTCCTTGAAAACAGTCTCTCAAGTCTCAACAACAACCTTGAGGCCACGACGACTATACTGCAGATACAAAGTAGTTAAGGGATTAAATATGCCTACATCAACAATTGCGCCACATGTACTCGGATTTTTTTTTTTTTTTAGTTAACCTTTTGTATTTCCCCTCTCAGCATGGGGGCAGATTTATCAACTTAGAGTTTGTATTATTAGAGAATAGCATGTTACCACTGCCACGCACACAAATCATAACCACAACTCAATCAGAATTGCATGTATAGAATTAGGAGAGGGCTTTGAGAGTTCACTTATAAAAAATAACAGTCTAATTGGTTCAGTTTTCTGAAAATAATTCTCCAGAACTCAAAAAACAGAAAAAAAATAAAATAAAATAATAATCCAGAGAATTTTGAAAAACAGGTCCTTTTATAACTGGCTTTTCATAAACCAACCTTCAGAGAATTGGAAAAAAAAAAAAAAAAATACCCTAGTTTTCCAAGGCACGTGAAAAGAATTCAGCACATGATTACACAATAGATAAATTATCTAAGGCACATGAAAGAAGAACAAACATTCAAGATTTTCTCATCGACCAAACCAAGAATGACATGATATAGTGAAAATCTGAAATTGCGAATAAATATATATTTTCCGCATAGGAATTCTTATAGAAAACAAGAAATATGACTCATTGTAATTAGTATACAAAAGAGAGTAGAAAATTGATTATTACAGTAAATAAGTTCCTAATATTGAAAATCAATAGCATAAAGGGGAGCTATGAAACAGACATGTTAGAAGTTTCTATATGGTATCTTTCAATAAGGTACCCTTCAATGTAAAAGCTAAAGCAAGTCAAGCCCCACCATTTTCTCATAAAATTCTTTTTCACCTTTCTCTTTTCTTTTTCCTTTTCACTTTACAGATTGTGTTGGTTTCTTTGCCTCTCGTTTGTCCTCGCCTCTCATGTGTCCTTCAATGAGTGTCACAAAATTAAAGCAGCCCTATTATCATAGTCCCAACTCAACTTTTAATTGATGTAATTACAATGCATGCTTGTATGTTGGTTTGAGGAGGGTGGGGCTAAATTAATTTCCCGTCGATGGCTAACTCTATGGTCCCTCAGCACTCTAGGTAGGTAGGTCGTACACTAGGTAATAGGTTCTATAGGGCTTGATAAATAATTCCGGTCCCTGCCCTATGGATGTCCCAAATCATGTCAAGACGCGCATTTCATTCAAATAATGGTTCTTAATTTCTCGTCGGTCAAAGTCAAAGGTTGAGGGTTCAAGTTTTCGTAAGGATAAAGTATGTGTATGAGTTCCTTCTAATGAAAAATAAAATAAAATTCTTAAGCTCTAAAAGCCACCTAATTATGCTCTGTTTTAGCCCTAGTCTCCATGCCAATACTGCAAATGCAGACCATATTAAGCCCACAAGTTGTTTAAAACACCCTAAATCATTTTTAATGGCAATCTGAGCTGAATTTGCACCAACCCAACAAAGGAATAACGGTGAAGTGCTTCAATTGACCAACAAAATTTCATTGATTTATCAAAATTAACTTCAAAAAAGAGGATGAATTCAATAAACTATAAACATATACATACATACATATACGAACTGAAATATTATATTTATACCAAATGATTAAAAAAAAGGAATCGAATCACTTCACGTTTATACTCCATGACCCACATTGCAAAAGCAAACAAGATGTGATAGTCATGAAGATTGAAACGTTGATTCAGGTTTGTTGATAGCAAATTATTGAGGGGGTTTTGAGGTGAACTTACCTCCAAATACGCACACCCAAATCATTTTCTTATAGGGGGGAACAGGTCCCTCTTCAAGTGGAAGACATTGATGGAGAAATTAAACCTCGCCATTATTCCCCAATATGAAAAGTTTTTGTTGTGTCTCCAATTGCTGGAACAGAATATGAGAAGAATAATTTTTTTTGGTGTAAAAGCAATTCATCATCTTTCACTAGATTTTAACTCATTCAAGCCCAACTTAGTAAAATTGGCAGAAAACCCATAATATTCAAGTATAACTTATCTGGGCCTGTCAATTTGGTGTCCAATAATCTGGTCCAGCCCAACCCAAGAACCAAACTAGGCATAGTCCGACAAATAGAGAGATCCGAAAGGGTCATTTGATTAGATAGAAATTGATGTTGGGAAATGAAAGTGAAAGAACGTGGTGCTAGCAACAGCTTTTCCATCTTTTGCCTGCTTGGTCCTTCCTGGGCCTGTTGTTATTTTGGGTTATGTTTATTTTGGTTAGCCTGGGCTAACTTAGAATATTTATAACTTCTCTTCTTTTAATATTTAAAAAAGAGTAAAGTAAAAGAAAGGAAAATACATTTTTTAGTATTCATTTAGTTAGTTTGAAATTTTTTCAAGAAACTTGTGAGAAAATCACATTTCATTGTTTGAATAATATGAAAGTTAATAGAAAATATTATGATATTAAATATAATAATAGGTCTAAATAAATTTATATTTAATAAATATTTTTATTTTTTAACAAATAAAAGTAATATAAGAATCTAAATAATGAAATTTTGTAAGATATGTCTAGAGAGAGGTAACTATTATAATATTCTTACCAATGGGCTAAACACAATTTATTTTAGAAGGTGAAAATGGGGGTATAATTAAAATTTCATATAGTTTTCTCACAAAATCAAAAAATTTCGTATTTTTTGTTGAAATTTTATGTGAGAAAGTTGGATAGTTATGGAAAGTTATTTTCTCACAAAATTTTCCTTTTATTGCTAACAAAACTCTTAAAAAATTCACATTTCTTTTCCTTTCTTGCTATTTCCATCTAACCAAACTAAGCCAAAGGATCATTATGAGTCCTTTTGTAGTTGTTAGGGGGTGTGGGCCTCCACCATTGACGCTTGCACCCTTTACTCGTAGAATGTTGGACTCCAAATCATTTTATCTGGGGATGGGGGGATGGTAGAGAAAAGGATAAAATGAAAGAACATGACCAGACTATTTTTCTATCATTCCCACCCCAACTTTTTCTTTTTCTTTTTATTTTTTTTATTTTATGTTTCCATCTGGCTTCTACTTTCATTATAAAAAAATAAAAATAATAATAATAAAAAAGTTAGCATTGCTGCCCAATTCTATATTTCTTCAACTCATTTCTCTCGTGGTTTTTAAGCACTAATTGTGTTTGCAACCTTTACCTCTCATGGTTTTATTAATGAATGAAGAAGGAAGAGGATATGATAGTTTAGCATAGAGAGACAGAGACTTCTTAGCTACTAAATTAAACACAAACTAACATCCTCATTCTCATAGTTTGTTACCAAGTATTCAGAAACAAAAATACTTTTCCTAGCTAGGTGTGTGATTTTTTCTTTTATTGTTCATCTATTATGTTACCTACCCAAGTACAATTTTTCTTAATTTCCTTGTAATTGTAAACATGCGTAACTTCGTTGATATATTTGGAATAGTTTAACATCAAAGGAATAGTATAATGACAAGACGTTCCGTGGAGGTTGGAAGTTTGAATCTTAAGGGTGAAGACATAAATTAAATTCAGAGGCACAATGTTTTAAAATATATAAATATATATATATAACAACAAATATAATTTCTTCAAATCAAGAGGTGAAGAAGAAAAAATTATTGCAATAAATAGTTGACAAAAATTTGAGAGTGACTCAAAAAGGAAAAGTTAACTTTTTTAAACAAATTTAAAGAGTAAAAAAGAAAAGAAATAAAAAATTAAGAGATAATTTTATAAAATACAAATTTTAGGAGAGCATTATGTATATTTTTTCATATATATACATGAAAAAAAAAAAAAAAAAAATTAATATGTATATTATGGTAGGAGGGCCCAGGGACACCTGGCATGTTCCCCCGGCATTAACCGAGTCCCCTATTGTTGATAGTCTTGAAGCCACTCTTAGGGATGGCAACGGGGCGGGTTTAGAGCGGGTTTCCCTAAATCCCACCCCACCCCTTTTATTTTTTATCAAGTCCATGCCCGCCCCGAGACCCTCGACGAGTTGGATTTTCCTGTTCAGCCCCGCCCTGTTAGGAAATATTGTGCCCCCATGCCCGCCCCGCTAACAAATTTTTTTCTCCCACTTTTTGGAACTTAAGCTCATGCTATTTGAATGTGGAAAGCCTGGGAATGGCACAACATAAATGAAATTATGTATCCCAACAAAAATAAAAAAACATAACATGCACATAACATAATTCAGAGAACATAATAAACAAAAATAAAAGTTTAATATAACCAAATCACAAGAAGTTCTAAGCTCCAACTTCCACCATAACCAAAACAAAAGCAAATTTAATACCAAGTTTATATATATATATATATATATATATATATAAAATATAGTTATATGCTTAACGGGGCGGGGCGGGGCTCCTAGGATATGTATACTGAACCCTTACCCGCCCCGTGACCCGCGACGGGTACAAAATTTATATCTATGCCCGCCCCAACGGTATAAAAAGTGTTCCCATATCCTTTACTAACAGGGCGGGACGGGACGGAGCTCCGACGGAGCGGTAAAAATTGACATCCCTAGTCACTCTTAGATAATTTTCTTTGTAATAATCCGTGCATGCAAGATAGAGTGAGCATATGTATACATGAAAAAGGTCTTAACACAACCATTGTAAAATAATAATAATAATAATAAAATTCTTAAAAGAGTATTCTAAGGAGCTAATAAATCGACTTTACTCGTAATGTGATTATAATGAGTAAATTGGAATCCACTAATTATCTGAGAGACAGAATCTATTAATTATTCAGAAACGCAGACCAGCAAAATCTGCATCAGCAAGTATTAGGTAACTTTATTATTCAGATTTTACTTTGATTGATTCCAATAGATCACAAGTGTTGGAAACTGATTTTGTTGGCCATATTTATATGATATACACAAAGATGTGCTGGGCACGTACAACACACACCACCAACTGCCAGAACCGTTTTTATTTGACGCGGGCGATATCGCCCTATGCCTACAGATTCCCCTCCAAACCCCCCTCCCGTTCTCTCTACGCCATAGCGCGCGCACACTCTCTTTCTATCTACATATATAAATAAATATATAATATTGCCCTACAAATCTCTCTGAAAGTCTCTTCTTCTGAGAGGCCACCGGAAAATGGACCCAGCCGGCGAAGTCATAGAGAACGGCAACGCCGAGCCTCGATCGGCTCTGATCTTTCTCGGCACTGGTTGTTCAAGCGCAGTCCCTAATGCGATGTGCCTGATCCAACCATCCGATCCTCCCTGCCAACTTTGCTTCCAGTCATTGTCGGTGCCGCCGGAGCGGAATCCAAATTACAGGTCATTTGATCTGATTTAGTGTCTTCATTTCATGTTTCGATTCAATTCTTATCTGATTCTGTCACATTTTGGATCAATTTGAGCCACAGATCTGGGAATGTAGGGTTTCTTTTGTTCTCTAGTTTTGTTCTGTTTTGGTTTTTTTTTTTTCTGATTCAATTTGACTGAAATTAGGGTTTTTTATACAATGTTTATTGATAAAATCATAAGTGTTGATCTGACAATTTTGTTGTTTCATTAAGTTCATATCGTTATATAATGGTGGGTGAAAGATTTGTGGTTTATGGTTTATAGGTGCAACACGTCTCTTCTGATTGATTATTGTGGGAGAGATGATGAACACAGATATATATTGATTGATGTTGGAAAGACGTTCAGGGAGCAAGTACTTCGGTGGTTCACTTTCCATAAGATTCCGCGGGTTGATTCAGTGAGTTTAGTTCTTTATGCACTTTTTGTGTCCACATATATAACTAGTAGATTAAATGGCATTACTGATTACCTTCATCTGGAACTGTTAATAAGCATTTTCTATAATATCTGCATCATTTTAGCTGACATGATCTTGTCCTTTTACTTCTCCTTCCAAATATTCCTTCTGGTCCTAGATATTTCCCTAATTACAATATCTGCACTAAGTAGCACAATTTAGTGCTTTTTTTTTTTTTTTTCTGGTTCTAGATTTTTTTTTCTTTGGTGGAAGGAGAACTAGTAGCAAAAAAATTGATGTAAGCATTAATTTTTTATGAAGTTTCACAGATCTTAGTGGAGCCAAATCCAGCCCCCTTTCTGTCAGTTGGCAGTTGGACTGCAACTCTTTCTGTCATGAAACATCATCATGTGCGAAATATGAAGAATAATTATATGGATTGTTCCCTTCCATTGATTGATATAATTTGAAGAATAATTTCATATTTGACTAATTTTTACAATTTGAATTGCCCATAACTGTTCTTGAATAACATTGATAATGTTCGTTGTAGTTGAAACCCATACTATGTGGAACTAATTATTTGTACCAACTGCAGATTGTTTTGACTCATGAACATGCTGATGCAGTTCTTGGTCTGGATGATGTACGTGCTGTGCAGCCATTTAGTCCTACAAATGACATTGACCCCACGCCCATTTACCTCACTCAGGATGCTATGGACAGGTACCTTTTCTTTTCTTTTTTTCTTTCATTTTGATTGAATGTTCTAACAAATTCTTCACTGAACTAATTGACCATTTCCAACCTTCAACATGGCATTACCAAGATATAATTGTATATCCTAGTGTATGCCATCAGTGATAATATTTGCTAACATCATTCTAGGGTCGAGACTTGAGTTGAAAATAGAAGCATTAAAGGTATCTATTCAGATATATGATATATGTGTAGTACGTAACATTTATTATGTTTTTGTTTGGGTTGTAGGTACAATGCCCCTACTTTCATTGCTTAACAAACACAAACTATGATAAACTTTGACATAAGATCATGAGCAAGCATAAAATGAGTTGAGCATATACATATGCATTGGTACATGATATGATGAAATAAAAGAAATAAATTATGACTTATAACAGGTATCTCGTGTGTTTTTACTTACTAAGGTTACTACTTAATTAATTATAACTTAATAACAAATAAAAGAATTAAATTATGACTTATTTCATAGTTTTTTTTCATGATTTGAGAAACAATCCCGATTAGATTTTTTTTTTCTTTTTCTTTTGGGAAAAAGTGTTGATAGTTTTTGCGGTATGTTTTTAGTGGAGGTTTGTTTATTTTTGGGAAGTCAAGAAACCAAGTGGAAATAACGTCTGAGATATGGATTATGTTTTGGTATTTCATGCTTCTACTTATGTACCATCAATTAATCTATATGCCTTTTTTGCTTGATGGTTGTGTGTTTTGAACCTTTGAAACAGCATCGGTGTGAAGTTTCCTTACTTGGTTCAGAAAAAACTAAAGGCAGGCCAGGAAGTGAGACGAGTAGCCCAGCTTGACTGGACAATAATCGAGAATGATTGTGAGAAGCCATTTGTTGCATCAGGACTAGAACTTATTCCTTTGCCTGTTAGTTGCCCCACATCGTCTCCAATTACAATTTCAATTCCATACTCATTTTATATTCTGTTGTTTCTTACTGCTATTTTTTCCCCGTTTACGTAGGTGATGCACGGTGAAGATTATATTTCTTCGGGATTTCTTTTTGGTGAAAAATGTAGGGTAGCTTATATATCTGATGTTTCACGCTTCCTTCCAACCACTGAGCATTGTGAGTTTTGCTATATTCTTCTATTTTTCGGTCATATTTGTTATTTTTTAATTTGTCATGCTCTTCTTATGCTTGTTGCAAGTCAAATGCTTGCTGCAAAAAGCTTGGGAACGGGTTTCTTTGGTAATTCCAACTCGAGCATTCAAATTTGACATCGTAGGATGATCTGGTTATCTGATTTACATGCATATGTGGAATAAATATTAATGGAAAATCCAAAATTTTGATGGATATGAATTTTTCGTCCTTGTTTTTGGCACTGGAAATTGGTTTAGGCAACAAAAAATCAGTGACCCAGACTTTGATGAAAGGTTATGTGTGCTATGTAACTCGTGAGAATTGGGTTTGTTGGCTTCCTTGCCTTTTCTTGTATTTTGCTTTCAGGTGATGCTTACTTAAGCTAACCTTTTGAGCCTCCTTCAGGCCTGTATGTACATTTCCCCTATTCATTTATTCTATTGCTTAAACTTCCCGGAAAAAAACTCTTGAGCGATCATTGAAGTTCAATTGACTTGCTATTTTTGAAGATCAAACTTAAGGAATCTTGATCTTGGGCTTGGGAACTGATGGGGGCATGGATACTACTCTCAAAACCGCAAGCTTGTTAATGTCCTAGTTCTAGCCATCTGGAATTTTAATCTATAAACTATAGCTGTTTTTACACACACCCAAAAGAAAAGAAAACAGGGGGGGGGTTGATTTTCAATTTTTTTTCATGTGTGTAAGTTTGAATTTTAAATCGTCGTGCTAACGAAGTTGTTAGTTCTGCAGATATTTCAAAAAGTGGTGGTAAACAGTTGGATCTCCTTATCTTGGACACACTTTATAAGGTCAGTTGATCGAGCCCCAAGTTAAGTGTTATTTCGTGCACCTATTAATCACCTCCTAGAGATATTCCTTGTTTGTTATTAATTTATGCATGATTCCTGGAGAGTGTCTGGGTTAGTAATCACCTCCTAGAGATAATTCCTTGTTTTTTATTACTTTATGCATCATTCCTGGAGAGTGCCAGGGTTAGTGGTGCATGGGAGAACAATTATGCCGACCCATCAATACTAGTGTATTCAGTTGTTGTATTTTGGAGAACATGCCAACAATGAAAAGAGTTTTTTTCTTCTTATTTTTTCCCGAAACCTATTTATTTTATTGTCAAGTTGTTTTAGAGTCATGGGGTATGCAGTGGAAGGGCTTTACCTTTCCCCCAACATGTTCCCTTTTATGTTTTATTTCTTTCCCCTCAATACTTTTATTTTGTTTTTTTTAAAAAGGAATACATATCCCTTGATAATTAAACTTGTCCTGAAGAAGTTTGTTTGGTAGTTTATATCCAACTACGGTGTTACATTTCAATATTGATTTGCTTTTCGTTCTTCTTTTACTATGTGTTGCCACTAGTAAAATGTAAAATTGGAAGCATTATCCCTCCCCACCAATTCTTGATGTTCTAGTTACATGCATATATAATAAATTTTGGGTAATGCATCGTGGATGATATTGTTCTAAGTAATCTGTATAATTTAATTGATCAATTATGATTTATGCAGAAAACAGTTTCAACTGAAATTTAACTCTGCCAGATGCTCATAAATCTTAATTATTCGTAAAACTTGTTAATGATCTTTCTTTGGCTTAACCATCATTTAATGGTTAATAGTGCACAGTGTTTTTCTATATTTATTAAAATTTAAAAGAAGATTATTGAAGAGCACCTCACAGAAGATTTCAAGAAAGATCTTTTGTAGATCTAGATGGACAATAGTTTGCTCCTATGGAATCTGGTTGTTAAGAAGTCCTTTTGTGGCCAAACATTTATTTTTGAGTAATTCGGCTGTAATAAAGTTCTCCACCATGTGTCAACCATCCATTGTGGTGCAGAGATTCTTCTAGAACTGAGACTTTTTTTCTTATACAAAAACATCTACTCTACCCTACCAGGAGGGAACTCATTTACACCACATTGTATACACTGCCAAAAACCAACCTATACAAAAATTATTATGCCATTTCTCTCCCAAAAAACCATAAGTGGGTAGAATTTTCTCAATAATTTTTTACAAGCCTTCTTTTTTTTTTTCCCTTCTGAGTCATGACGTTGGTATGATATTGTTGTTTTGGTAAATATGTTTTTGTTGTTGTTATTAAATAAGCATGGTATTGGTACTAGGATGACTGAGTACTCATTTTCATTTTTTTTTTCTTTTGTCTTTTTAACTTGTTCTTTATTTTCTAAAGGTGCTTAAACCATTTATATAAGATAAATTAAAAAAAAAAAAACAAGCTTTATTAAGATCTTTGCCCAATACAGTGGAAGTATTCCAATTTGGAATATTGCTTAAAATCATGTGAACAAAGGTTGATTAATTGTAACTTCATAATACGATTCTTATCAAATTTCTTATCCTTGTTCCCCGTCATTATCATAAAAAGCCTACTCCATTTGGAGGATACAATCCAGTAGAAATACATCTAAATTTGATTTTAGGATTTGGCAATACTATTGAATAGTTAGCTTATCTATTGTTTATATCTAGGGTTCCTTACTTCAATTTCATTTAATAACAATTATTTAGTATATTTTATTTTTTTCTTTTTTTCTTTTCTTTCATCAAAATTATTGATGGGCTTTACCCATTATAGAAAAAAAAATAAAAAAATCAAGGTCTCTCCGATCTCAAATGAAGGATTTTAAATTGGAAATAGTGCTTAAAATCAAGTGTAATAAAGATTGGGCAAGGTCAACTTTCTAAAGAATACTTTTAAGACCTTCTAACTCCTATTTTTACATCTCTCTCTTGTGATTATACTTCTTCAAAATTCTAAACCTTGTGCCCCAAACATTTTCACCAACCAACTTCTTAATTGGTGAAATATAATAAAGAAAAAGTACAGAACCCAATATATGTTACACTTGCGCAGAATGCTTTGAGGGAAAGGCTGAAGATAAGCCTTATATTTGGTATTATATTGCAAAGACTGGCTCCTCTAAAACTCTAATTCGTGACTTTACAGTCAAATCAAGCTTTTACTATTGCACTAAGCAAAGACCCCTAATTTATAGAGGGAATACCAACTTGGAAGAGCCTCATTTCATCTTATTGGGTTCCCTACAAAACCCACTTCTCCATTGTGCTTCATGTCATATTTTTAATTTACTAATGGGTCAAAATTACTTAATTTGACTACCTCGACCCACATCCATTTGCCACAGACTCCAGACCTCTTTTTTATAGTGCCTTCCGATTTTAGTTGCAGGCAAATTGGTTCCCCATCATGGTTGTATTATACACACATTCTTTCAGAGAATGTCCTTAGATTTCTTCTCTGTGCTTTAAATAATTATTTCTTCTAATAGCTACTTGTTTTTAACCATTCCTATGTTGACTGCTTTGTCTTTCTTATCTTTCCCTCTTGTTATAGAGTTCTTATACAGTTTCCTGTTTCTTTCTTCCAACTTCTGCAGAATGGGTCCCATAATACTCACTTTTGCTTCCCTCAGGTTTGATCTACTTCTTCGAAAGAAGTTGAAATTTTAATATTTATATAATTGTTGTACAGGCACATGTTGCTTTTGCTAAAATTACAGAGAATATATGTCTTCAGACTCTTGAAGCTGTGAAGAAGTTATGCCCAAAGCGAGCTTTGTTAATTGGAATGACCCATGAGTTTGATCACCACAGGGACAATGAATTTCTTATGGAATGGTCTAGAAGGTAAAACAGCTAGTAGTTTCTTCCAATTGATGGTCTTAATAGTCAGTAACACTGCTCTACTGATGAATTATTGATGTACTTCTGCTTTCCTCAAAACTTACCCAATGGTAATTGAATGGTTGGAAGACCAAATGTAGATGTGGAACTGACATTTATTTGCACTTTCATGAATTTATTTATTTTTAGTTTGCTATAAAGAAGTGATCTTAATAGCCTTGTCACTCTTTGTTTGTAGAGAAGGAATCCCCGTTCAGCTTGCACATGATGGGTTGAGGATCCCCATAGACCTTTAATGTGGTAAGTCGTTGAAATATTACATACATGACTTGTGCAACGCAGCTTGTTTCTTACATGACAGTCAGATATGCGCTATTGAGTAATTCTGGAATATCTTTTTCCTATGTTGCGGTTGCAGGTTTATACATGAGCCATGAATGCGGCCAGAATTTACTTGATTGTTTCTACTTCTTCTTCTTCTTCCCCATTTTGGTAGGAGGAGGGAAAATGACACAGTAATGTTGATGTGTAACTTCTTATAGCTTCAGCAAATCCGATTTTTGAAATTGAAACAAATGCAAAGCTATAGGGCAGAAAGATGGTGTACAATGTGTACAACATGGTAGAAAATTTAGCTTGGAGTAGTCTGCTGGTTCAATGTGTTACACACCTTTTAGTTTCCCTCTAATTTTATATTAAAATGAGAAGACTATGATTTCGCTCGAGGGAATATGTAATATATTGTCAAACAATTGTCCTTTGTCTTGCATTGAACTAGAAAGTGGTTTGAAATGGATTACAATGAGATCAATATACTAGGAGGAAATGCCTTGTTCTATGGCCTAGGTTGCATCGTAATGCACCTTTTTGTTTTTTTTCTTTTGGTCCTGGCTCAATGCAACCAAGGTGATACGATGTGATAGAATGCAATAGAAACAAAGATAGGAACGGGTTACCTACTCTTAACGGTCAAAGCGTGCCCTTTCATTCAGAACTCTTCAATTCAGAATGAATCAAATCAGAGTAAGCATTACACAATCTCCAAATCATTTTTTATAAAAAAAGAGAATAGATCCTCCATTTTTATACCACATATCCTATTTTGACCCCAAGAAATGAAGTACTTTCTACAAATGGCTCTGGTTCGTTTAGAAAATGTGGTTCAAGGAACTATATGTGGAGCAATTAGGCATAAATTGATACCAACTCCTCAAAATTTGGTAACTTCAATTCAATTAACAACTACTTATGAATCTTTTTTCATTCGACCCGGTTTAACAATAGCTACCCAAAATTCAGGGGATCCTTTCCCCGAACCCATACGCGTTTCTGTGGGGATATTCCCGAAACTCACAAAGAAAAAAGGAAGTGAGTTAGACAAAAAGAAAAACAACTTGGATAAAAAAAAGAAGGATTTGAACCCATGACATTTTGTACCCAAAACAAACGCGCTACCAAGCTGCGCCACATCCCTTCAATTGGTATACAAATTGGCGTATTACCAAATCACGCCCCTATTGCCACAGCTGTAGATATAGGTATTTTGAGAATACGCCTTAACGACCAATGGTTAATGATGGCTCTCAAACAAGAGAAAGAAACAGGCATAAATTTTTTTATAGATATTGGCGATATATTCCCTGTGGTAACTGGATTCATGAATTATGGTCAACAAACAATACGGACTGCAAGATACATTGGTCAAAGTTTCATGAAGAGCCAAAAAAGGATCTTTTGTATATAATTCTGCATAATCTCGAATGTTTTCAGTTCCAGTACGTAGACCAAATAATACAATACAAGCAAAAGTTCCTAGATTTATGGAGATATAGAACAGCATATAAGTTATCATGCTTGCATATTCATCATTTGAGTCTCCAACAATTATTCCAATAATTACATATCCGATTTGACCTATGGACGAATATGCAAGCATACGTTTAATGCTTGTTTGAGTAATAGCAATGAGATTCCCTAATATCATGCTAAGAATAAAATCTTATTCGATGGTATTTACATGAGGTTCCTCTTTCTTATTCTTAAGCAAGTCCTCGAGAGGACTTAGTTAATCGTTTCATCTTTGTTTCTTTTTCGTTAAGGTAAAATGCCCATTTATTTTTGAGAAGCAAAAGAATTTCATCATCTTCCATCATCATTATTTCAAGATAATATTGCATTGTGGGAGCATTTTATAGAATTCAAAATTTTCCATCCACGCCTGAACAGAAAAATCAATGAAAGGAATCTATTTCTTAGGTCGTATAATCTGATTAAATTAAATGGTACCATCAGATGTCACTCACTTTAATACATCATATTTAAGCCCGTTAGGTTAGCAACAGGGACTTGGATCCCCTCCTTTGAGGCACAACATCTCACCCTTATTATATAATCTTCAACAAAAAAAAAAAAAAAAAAAATTCCATTATTATATTTTTTTAACTTTTTCGTCTTTCTCCTTTCATATCTCTCCTATCACTCTATTTTCTCCACCTTTCCCCCACCCTCTTATTATGGTCATCTCCAACTCCTAGACTTCCATCCTCTGACCATGCTATCACTCCTCCCTTCTCAACCTCCTACCCCACCAACTCCTATATTCATATACGCATATATCTTGATAAAGTTGTGCACCTAAATCTGTATATATGAATCTAATCTAATTCAAATGTGTTAGAATTGATTAATATTTCAGAAACAAAATAGGCTATTTAAAGAAATAAACAAACACGGACAGCAAGAGCATTTCCATCTATATGTTAAAATATTATTTTGTGTAAAATATATATCTCCAGCAGTCTATTAAGATTTTTTATTACATCACCAATGTGCAAAAAGGTTATGTTTTTACACTTACCCTACTAAATTAACATATTTCATTTCTCATCCCTCTTTCTCATTCCATTAAAAAATTAACCATATTAAATAAGTTTCTAAAAGTTATGCCTGTCCGGCATGACACATAATTAATTGTTATTGGGAGTACAAAATAACCGTTAAAACTAAAATTAAATAATTCAAAATTTAACATCAAATTTATACAAAAAATAAATAAATAAAAAATAAAAAAAAATTATACACAACGTTGGTAACTCAACATTGATCTTTATCCCATTAGACAAAGGTAAACAGGCTTAGGAGAGAAGTCAAGGTAAAAATTACGGAGTAATAAATTATGCAACAAAGCTATCTGAAAGTCTGTTTTTCTTAGAGGCCACCGGAAAATGGACGGCGCTGGTGAAGTCATAGAGAACGGCAACGCCGAGCCTCGATCGGCTCTGATCTTTCTCGGCACTGGTTGTTCAGGCTACGTCCCGAGACCCATGTGCCTGATCCGACCATCCGATCCTCCCTGCCAACTTTGCTTTCAGTCATTGTCGGTGCCGCCGGAGCGGAATCGTAATTACAGGTCATTTGATCTCATTTAGTGTCTTCATTTCATGCTTTGATTCAATTTCCATCTGATGCAATTTGACTGAAATTAGGGTTCCTTAGACAAATTTTTAAATTATTTTTAAATGAACACAAGTGTTGATCGAAGTAAAAAACTACAGATGCGATGAACCATCTGGAGTGCTGATTTCTTATTAATTTTTTAGCTCGTAGTTTGGGTTTATGCATATTTATTGCGATTTTTCTTTTATTTATTATTTTTTATATGATTCGACAATTTTGGTATAGTAACTTGAAAGTGTTTGGAAGCAACAAAAACTACTTTGGCAATAACCGTGCTGGATATTAACCAAGTTTTATTATTCTTCTTGTTGTTCCGTTCAGGTGCAACACGTCTCTTCTAATTGATTATTGCGGGAGAGAAGATGAACACAGATATATATTGATTGATGCTGGAAAGACGTTCAGGGAGCAAGTACTTCGGTGGTTCACTTTCCATAAGATTCCGCGGGTCGATTCAGTGAGTTTAGTTCTTTATGCACTTTTTGTCCTCATATTTAACACTCGTAGAACAATTTTTCTGTTTCTGTCATACTTGTGAAATTATAATGACATTACGGCTCATGTAAAATATTTTTCACAAATAGTTTTTTATTTTTTTTGGTGTTCGGTTGTCCTAAAATATTTAGGAAGAAAAAAATATTAAAATTTAATAAAAATAACTTATCCAACAATTTTGGACAAGTTATTTTACACTTGACTTCAATCTCGACGTAACTTTTGTCAAACACCCAAAAAGCAAAAATAAAAGAATATTTTACCTGAAAAAGGAGAATATTTTTCAAAAAAAATATTTTATGTCCAAACACAAGGAGCCTACTTTCAACTCAAACGGTTAATAAACATTTTCCAATAGTATCTGCTTCATTTTAGCTGACATTATCTTGACTTTTTTACTTCTCCTTCCAAATATGCCTTCTCCACTATTGGATTAGAAAAATCTTGTTCTAAATCTTGGTTAGTCGAAAACATTGATGAGGGAAGTATACAGAGTTTTCTTGTTAGAGTAGGAAAACAGTTAGAAAATTGAGGGGAAAAAATGATAAATAGAATGAATTGGAAAAATGAGAAGAATTGAAGGCAAGCCATGCACTACCTTATGGGAAGTATACATTTTTCATTTCGCTTTAGAGTTTATCCTCATGGGACTGAAGGAGAAAAAGGAAAATGTAGACATCTTCCATCAAAAGGGAAATTAGTGAGATGATGCAATCATACAAGATATCTTGATCTTGTGTAGCGGTGATCCAGGTGGTTATTTTCATCTTCCTATATGCTTTTCCCCACCTTACTAGTAAGAACAAAAAGGTGATGTGTGAATTATCACCTACTCCAAGAGCGTTTAACCACCAGTTCTTCCAGAAGCTTAAACTTTTGGTGTAGTTCAGAGGAGACAAGGTTCTAAGTTCAAATCGCACCACTATTCTAAAAATTATGATTGATATATATGGTTGGCGCACTTGTGATGGAGAGTTTGGCTACATGTGAGAGGTCTTGTTAGAGTAGATAGTGATTAACAACAATGCTCTAGAGATTTTTGGGTGAGATAAGTAGATCATACAGATTGTTTGTCTAACTATGTATAGTTTATGCATTCACCCACACTGGCACATTTTCAACTTGTGAAGTGTATTCTCCATTATATCAGTGGGACAATAGATTATGGGTTAAAACAATACATGCAAACAGCTCTATTGAGCTCTATGCCTTCTCCCGTGGATTCAAGATCTACCCGTAGTACAAGGGGTTTTCTTGGGTTCCTGCCCGGAAGCCCCTACCGAACTCACCTAAATGCAGAACGGGTAGGAGATCTAGGCTATAAACACTCTTTTAACTTTTTTTATTTCCTTTTGCATGAAGTGTGCGCATCTGTGGCTCGAGCATCTGTTTTCATACTTGGCAGCCTGAAAAGTGGCCCTCAGATAGGTAGATAAAGCATAAATAAATTTCTATAATAGTAAAAGAATGGGTAAGGCATCATGCATTCAGCCTTATCGTACATTCTTCACCATAATGAAATATTATTTGATTTTGGAAATGACATACTTCAAAATGATTTCGATGATGAAACTTGACTTGATATGTTTGTGAGTAAGATTGTCGTTAGAAAAGAGTCAAAGGAACACACTCATGTAAAACAATATATACAGAACCCTCAACTCACTCAAAGACACTGTTAATAGAAAAATATAGGAAGCTCGATTTCCTGTGCTTCTGACTACAGATAAACAATGCCACCCCATGGAAAGAAAGCGTATTTTTTCCCCAGATACTCCACCATACGCACAATGGAGGCTCCTGTCACAGTACCCTAGCTGTCGTATTCACTCCACATTTTCTCCAACTAGAAAAAGTCCATGCCTAGCTGATCTAGCATCATCAAATGGAAAAACTTGAATTGATATAGACATAATTTGAAAGAAGGGCTATTGTCACGCCCCGGATTCCAAAACTGGGTCTGTGATAAAAGAAAAGAAATTTTAACTAAAATGGAGTGTAAATGTCCATACACTTGAGCCGAAGCCCAACCGGAAGTGTGGCCAATGGTGACGTCGGGCCCCTTGGGTTGGGGGAGTTGATTGTGGCGGGTGTGAGACACTGGCCGAGCTACAGCACAATCCCACATTGCCTGGGTAAAGTGAAGGTGAAGGGCTTATATGTGCTAGTGCTATCTCCAAATGGTATAAAGCCTTTTGGGGGTAAAACCCAAGAATAAAACCATGCGGGCTCAAGCCCAAAGCAGACAATATCATACCATGTGGTGGAGTAGGCTGTTACAACTATTCTTACTCTTTGATTACTTTGAATGTGATAGGGAAGCCGGTGCTAATGTCTTTTAGGTTCTTCTTACCTTAGGCTCATACTCTTGACACATTGAAATCAACTTGACTTCAAATTCAAGTGACTTTTGAATATGCTGATTGTCATTGAACTTGAGGATTTTCTTGTGAGCTATATTTTATCTTTTCGACATTGATGAATATGTCCAGGAGACCTTTCAAACACAGCAGTATCTAAGAGAGATATATATATATATATATATTTGTTTTGTTTGCTTTTAAGAGTTTTCTCGATAATTTTCATGTTACCTGATGTATGGTTTCTATGATTCAGGCCTCCACTATTTCAAAAGCGTAATCCCTTACAATTTTAATTTTGATTGTTGGGAAGATACATTTTTTAGTTCAACATTCATTGTAGGATCTTACCAAGGAACATGCAAATCTTTCTTGATATTTATATTTGTGATGAATCATATTTAGTAACATTTTTTTTTTTTTGATAAGTAATATTTAGTAACATTTTTCATAAAATAGTAAAAGTTCATCACTTGAAAATTTATAGCAAACCATTATTTGGCACATCAACCGCATCTCAGGGCTTGCTCTATCAAGGGGGAGCGGGTTGGCAAAATATAACCAGTCAAAGCTCAAAACTACTGCTGTGTGAATAAAAGTTTTTAGTGGGCTGTGAGAAATATCAAAATTTATTTGAGAGGCAGAGTTTATTGCTGTATTTTTTCCTCATGTAGATAGTTGGAGAAGAAATTATGACAAGAAGAAACAGTGCAAACATTGATATCAACTAAAGGGTTACATATTGCAGTTAAATTTAATTTGAAATTATGTTTGCTTGGAGCCCAATAACTGTCAAAATACCAAAAATATGCATTATAGAAATGTTTTAGAAGCATATAAAACTAGAATAGAGAGTAAAGAAACTTCATTGTCTAACTGGAGTTCTTATAAAATGAATTCAAATGTTTTCATTGTTCATAACTGTTGCAAACCTGCAAATCATCTCCTATATGTTGATTTATGATGCAAACGGTTTTTCAACTTTCCAATTTCTACTCCCTGATGTAGCTTATCAATAAGTAGCACGATTTAGTGCTTTTTTTACTTTTCTAGTTCTAGAATTTTTCTTTGGTGGAAAGAGAATTAGTAGCAAAAAATTTGATGTGAGCATTAATTTTTATGACTTTTCACATATCTTGGTAGAGCCAAATCAGGCCCCCTTTTACTGTTGGCAGTTGGACTGTGACTTTTCTGTCATGAAACATCAACATCAGGGAAATATGAAGAATAATTATATGGGTTGTTCCCTTTCATTGATTGATATAATTTTATGAATTATTTCGTATTTGACTCATTTTTTCAATTTGAATTGTACATAACTGTTCTTAAATAACATTTACATGTTCATTTTAATTGAAACCCATAGTATGAGGAACTAATCCTTGTACCAATTGCAGATTGTTTTGACTCATGAACATGCTGATGCCGTTCTTGGTCTGGATGATGTACGTTCTGTGCAGCCATTTAGTCCTACAAATGACATTGATTCCACACCCATTTACCTCACTCAGTATTCAATGGACAGGTACCTTTTTTTATTTCTTTTATTTTGATTGAATGTTCTAACAAATTCTTCACTGAACTAATTAACCATTTCCAACCCTCAATATGGCATTACCAAGATATAACTGTGTATATATGCAATAATGATGGCCACTATATCCTTGTGTATGCCATCAGTGCTGATATTGGCTAACATCATTCTAGGGTTGAGACTTGAGTTGAAAATAGAAGCGCTAAAGGTATCTATTCAGAGATATATGTAGTGTATAACATCTATTATGTTTTTGGTTGGGTTGTAGATACAATGTCCCTACTTTTATTGCTTAACACACAAACTTTGGTAACATAAGACATAAGATCATGAGCAAGCATAAATGAGTTAAGCATACATATATGCATTGGTACGTGATATGATGAAATGTAGTAGGTATCTCATGTGTGCTTTTACTTACTAAGGTTACTACTTAATTAATTTTCACCTAGTAACGAATAAAAGAAATAAATTATGACTTGTTTCATAGTTTTTGTCATGATTTTAGAAACACTCGCGATTAGATTTTTTTTTTCCCTTTTGGGGAAAAGTGATGATAACTTTTGCAGTAAGTTTTTAGTGGAGGTTTGTTTATTTTTGGGAAGAAGTCAAGAAACCAAGTTCAGACCAACTGGAAATAACGTTTTGAGATATGCATTATGTTTTGGGTATTTCATTCTTCTATTTATGTGCATCAATCAATCAATATGCTTTAATTGCTTGATGGTTATGTGTTTTTAACCTTTGAAACAGCATCACAGCGAAGTTTCCTTACTTGGTTCAGAAAAAACTAAAGGCAGGCCAGGAAGTGAGACGAGTAGCCCAACTTGACTGGACAATAATCGAGAATGATTGTGAGAAGCCGTTTGTTGCATCAGGACTAGAACTTATTCCTTTGCCTGTTAGTTGCCCCACATCGCCTCCGATTACAATTTCAATTCTATACTCATTTTATATTCCCTTGTTTCTTACTGCTCTTTTTTCCCCCATTTACGTAGGTGATGCATGGTGAAGATTATATTTCTTTGGGATTTCTTTTTGGTGAAAAATGTAGAGTTGCTTATATATCTGATGTTTCACGCTTCCTTCCAACCACTGAGCATTGTGAGTTTTACTATATTCTCTATTTTTGGGTCATATTTGTTATTTTTTTAATTGTCATTTTATTCTTCTGCTTGCTGCAAAAAGCTCGGAAATGGGTTCATTTGGTAATTCCAACTCTTAACATTCAAAAGTTGACATCATAGGATGATCTGGTTATCTGATTTACATGCATATGTGGAATAAATATCATTGGAAAATCCAAAATTTTGATGGATTTGAATTTTCTGACCTGATTTTTGGCATTGGAAATTGCTATAGGCAAACCAAAAATCAGTGACCGAATCTTGATCTTGAATTGTAATCTATAAACTATAGCTGTCAAAATTTTCAGGTTTTTTATGAATAAATGGTGATGGTAGAGACATCCGTGTTAGGCTATACGCTGGCAGACTTTTTATGAAGGGGTAGAGCTACATTTATATGCCTATCTTCATACAATGGCCATGTTAACAGAAATTCTTGCTACTCACTGTTTCTATGTATTTTTCATGGTTCCATCTGAGATAAAAAATTGAAAAGATGCCAAAGAAACAACCCAGGATGTCTTATTTAACCCCCCCTCCTCCTCTCCCAAATCCTATCTCTCAGACACAGAAAAAGGAAGAGAAAGAAAGAGAGGGAGGGGGTTAGGGTTGACTATTTAATTTATTATCATCATGAATGTAAGTTTGAATTTTAAGTTGCTGGGCTAAGGAAGTTGTTGGTTCTGCAGATATTTCAAAAAGTGAAGGTAAACAGTTGGATCTCCTTATCTTGGACTCACTGAAAAAGGTCAGTTGATTGAGCCCTAAGTCAAGTGTTATTTTGGGTACCTATTAATCACCTCCTAGATAATTCCTTGCTTGTTATTACTTTATACATGATTCCTGGAGAGTGTCAGAGTTAGTAATCACCTCCTAGAGATAATTCCTTGCTTGTTATTACTTTATGCATTATTCCTGGAGAGTGTCAGGGTTAGTGGTGTAAGGGAGAACAATTGTGCTGACCCATCAATACTAATATATTGTGGTGTTGCATTTTGGAGAGCATGCCAGCAATGAATAGAATTTTTTTTTTTTCCTTTCATTTTTTTCTTTCTTTTCAAAGCCTGTATATTTTATTGTCAAATTGGTATACAGTGGAAGGGATTTACCTTTCCCCCAACAGGTTCCTTTTTATGTTTATGTCTTTCCCCTCTCATACTTTTATGATTTATGCAGAAAGCAGTTTCAACTGAAATTTAAATCTGCCAGATGCTCATAAATCTCAATTATTCATTAAACTTGTTAAGGATGTTTCTTTGCAGTGGCGGACACAGAGGGGGGCTTGGGTGGGCTTGAGCGCCCCCCCCAAAAAAAAAAAAAAATTTTTTTAGTATAGTATGTTCAGCCCAATTTTGTTTTAAAAAATATTTTAATGGTAGTATTAGCCCCCCCTTTTAACCCATTCAAAAAAAATTTGCTTATGAAATTGTGTTATTAAATTTATGTTCAATACTAGCCCCCCTATTGACAATTCCTGGATTCGCCCTTGTTTCGTTGGCCTAACCATCATTTAATGGTTAAGAGTACACTGTGTTTTTCTATATTTATTAAGAGTTAATTAGAAGATTATTGAAGAGGACCTCACAGAAGATTTCTAGAAAGATCTTTTGCATATCTAGACAGAAAATTTGCTCCTATGGAATTCTGGTTGTTAAGAAGTCATTTTGTGGCCAAACATTTATTTTGGATAATTCAGCTGTAACAAAAATTTCTACCATATGTCAACCTTCCATTGTGATGCAGAATTTCTTCTAGAACTGATACTTCTTATCTTATGCATAAACATCAACCCATCGATACCAGGAGGGAACCCATTTACACCACATTGTATACACTGCCAAAAACCATCTATAATGTCATTTCTCTCCCAAAAAACTATTAGTGGGTAGAATGTTCTCAATAATATTATATAACCCTTTGTTTTCTTTTTCCTTGTAAGTCTTGATGTTGGTATGATTTGTTCGTTTTGGTAAATATGTTTTTATTGTTGTTGTTATTAAATAAGTATGGTATTGGTACTAGGATGACTGAGTACTCATTTTCAATTTTTTTTTTTTTCTTTTTAACTTTTCCTTTCTTTTTTAAAAGTGGTGAGACCATTTATATGAGATAAATTTAAAAAACCAAGATTAGTAAGCTCTTCGCCTAATACAGCAGAAGGATTCCAATTTGGAATGCTGCTTAAAGTCATGGGAACAAAGGTTGATTAATTGTAACTTCATAATACGATCCTTTTCAAATTTCTAAACCTGTTGCCCCTGTGGCCCTGTCATTATCATCAAAAACCTATTCCATTTGAAGGATACAATCCAGTAGAAAAATACATCTTAATTTGATTTTACGATGCAATACTATTAAATAGTTAGCTTATCTATTTTTTATATGTTCCTTATTTTAATTTCATTTAATAACAATTATTTAGTATGTTTTATATTTTTAGTTTTTTCTCTTCTCTCGCAAAATTATTGATGGGCTTTACCCGTTTATTGAAAAAAAAATTCAAGTCCTCTGATGTCAAATAAAGGATTCTAAATTTGGAAATAGTGCTTAAAATGAAGTGTATAAAGATTGGGCAAGGTTAACTTTCTAAAAAATACTTTTAATACCTTCTAACTCCTATTATTACATCTCTCTCTTGTGATAATACTTCTTCAAAATCTAAACCTTTTGCCACTCACTTCTTTGATTGATGAAATATAATACAGAAAACTTACAGTATCCAATGTATATCTCGCTTACGCAGAATGCTCGGAGGGGAAGACTGAAGATAAACCTAATCTTTCATATTATATTGTAAAGACTGGCTGCTCTAAAACTGTAATTCATGACTTTACAGTCAAATTGAGCTTTTACCATTGCACTAAGAAATGGCCCCTAATTTATAGAGGGAATACCAACTTGGAAGAGCCTCATTTCATCTTATTGGGTTCCCTTCAAAACCCACTTCTCCATTGTGCTTCATGATATATTTTTAATTTACATGTAGGTCAAAATTACTTCATTTGACGACCCGCATCCATTTGGTCGAGACCTCTTCTTTATAGTGCCTTCCGATTTTACTTTTATGTGGTACTGTTGATCACAGTTTTGTTTTTCCACCTATTCCGATAGGTAAATTGGTTCCCCACCATGGTTGTATTATACACACACATTCCTTCAGATAATGTCCTTAGATTTCTTCACTCTGCTTTAAATAATTATTTCTTCTAATAGCTTACTTGTTTTTCACCATATCTATGTTGATTGCTTTGTCTTTTCTTATCTTCTCTCATATTTCCCTTTCCGTATATTGTTCTTATACAGTTTGCTGTTTTCTTTCTTCCAACTTCTACAGGAAGGGTCCCATAATGTTCACTTTTGCCTCCCTCAGGTTTGATCTGCTTCTTCCAAAGAAGTTGAAATTTTAATATTTATATAATTGTTATACAGGCATGTATTGCTTGTGCTAAAATTACAGAGAATATTTGTCTTCAGACTCTTGAAGCTGTGAAGAAGTTATGCCCAAAGCAAGCACTGTTAATTGGAATGACCCATGAGTTTGATCACCACAAAGACAATGAATATCTTATGGAATGGTCTAGAAGGTACAACAGTCGGTAGTTTCTTCCAATTGACGGTTTCAGTAGTCAGTAACACTGCTTTACTGCATCTGAGTCATCTAATTAAAGATTGATTGCTGAATTGTTGATGTATATCTGGTTTCCTCCAATATTCTGCCCGGGACTTGCCCAACGGTAGTTGAATGGTTGCAAGACCAAATGGAGATGCGGAACTAACATTTTATTTTCACTTTCTTGAAATTTTAAAGATTGCTATAACGAAGTGATCTTAAGATCTTTGTGTTTCTTTGGTTGTAGAGAAGGAATCCATGTTCAGCTTGCACATGATGGGTTGAGGATCCCTGTAGACCTTTAATGAGGTAAGTTGTTGAAATATTACATAGATGACTTGTGTAATACTGCTTGTTTCTTACATGACAGTCATGTATGCATTATCGAGTAATTTCGGAATATGTTTTTTGTTGTGAATGCAGGTTATAATGTGGCCGGAATATACTCGATTGTTTCTTCTTCCCCATTTTGGTAGAGATGGGAAAATGACACAGTAATATTGCTGCAGAACTTCTTATAGCTCACCAAATCCTTCAAAGCTGTGGTGCAGAAAGATGGTATAGATTGCCTAAATTATGGTAGAAAAGTTATTCTGGAGTTGTATGGTGGTTCAATGTGTTATATGCATTTTAGTTTCCCTGTAATATATATTAAAATGAGAAGACTATGATTTCACTCAAGGGAATATGTAATATATTGTCAATCAATTGTCCTTTGTCATGTATTAAACTAGAAATTGCTTTGAGATCAATAAAGTTTGTCCTGGCTCCAAGCACCTAATTTTAGTTAGGTAAAATGTCCATTTATTTTTCAGTAGTATTCAAATTTGTTTGATAAAATTCAAAATTTGTATAAAAAGTGGGTAGTAGTCACTGGTCACACCTCTGTTTGAAGTATTGAGGTTCAGAGAATATGTACAGCTATAATGTGGCTATTTCTGTGCTTAGAATTTTAAATAGTATTCTTGACTCAAATCAATCTTTCCAACCTATAATATTTTATCCAATACTTGTATCCTCGAGTTCCCTTAAATGTGCCATGTTTAGACCAGGGGGGAAGGTTCTCTGTTTTTCTATCTTTATTTAAGATTTTTATTTATTTTTTTATTTTTTTACGACTTTATTTTATTAACAACCATAATAATGGAAGAATTTAGGGTAAGCTTGGTTTGTAATTCTGATAACAATTCCGTTAAGAATTCAAAAAATAGAAAATTGTTCTCAGAAAATAAACTTTTATAATTTTTTAAAAACACGAATTTTTATAATTGAGTTTTTAGAAAACTGAATCAAGCCGAGTTTTGGTACAGTTTTTTAATAACAAAAAACTGTTTTCATAGTTACAAATACTCTCACTTGTTTTTAGATGGCATTCAAGCAATAAAGTACTAGAAAGTTTTGAGATGGCATTCAAGCAATAAAGTACTAGAAAGTAAACAGTTGTAATTTAACATTATAAGGGGTTTTTATTTATTTATTTTTTTGACACCAAGTGAAAAATCATATCATTTAAGAAGAGGAAAGATACAGTCAGAGCTGAGAGCGTCAAACAGCCACTTGGGCAGACGCTTCACTCGAAATCAGATCATTCGGCTGGAAGGCCTTTTTGCTCAACAAATGAACTACGGCATTACTTTGGCGAGACACCCAAGTCAAGAAAGAATCGTTGTATAAGTTAAAAGAGAGAGCGTACATTGTTTAATAAAACACACATTGCCTAACGTTAGGTTAGAAGCGCATAACAAGTTGACACTCCCCTTTCACTATGACATCGTGGTATCCCAAAAGACGAAGAAAAGACGTGCATTTCTTAAGAATTAATCCCCCGCAATAAATGGGCTCCCGAAGAAGATTGAGGAAACTTTAAGAGGCTGTCCAAAAGTGCGTACACAAAATCAAACCCCCAACACATGATTTCCTTGATGAATTAAAAGACCCTTTCAATCTTTAGGAATCTATGTGACAAAAGTCAACAGGATTTTTAGTACGAGAAGTCACGGAAAAACTAATTATTCAACAATTTTTTTTTTTTCCACGATAATTTAATATATCCAAAGGTTTTGTGTAACATCCACGCCACCGCCACCTCCACCTCCACCTTCTTCCCTTTTAATTTGATTTATTTTTCTTAAATATTTGAATAATGATATTTAAATCAATTTATCAAATTTATTTGTTTAATTAACTATTTGATGCAGTGGTAGGCGCCAGGTGGATTCCATCCCCTCCATCAAAGGTATGTTTGGAAACCATTATGCTAAACAGATTGGTATAAATTGCTTAAGGAATCATTTTGCTAATAAAACAAATATATATATATATATATAAATAAGTATATAAAAAATAATAAAAAAAGGCTTTTGTTTAACTATTAAATTAGGCTGTTTCACTGTTATTTTCACCAACCGACTTGTTATGCTACCTTGTCTTCAGTGATTCAATATTCCATCTTTATACCAAGACTAGTTCCCATTGTATGTGCAGTCATCCGCAGATTATGTCACCAAGTAAAACCCTAAAACAGTTAAACAAGAACCTAGATAACAATGGGCAAGCTTATGTTAATGTTTAGAAATGTGAACACATCAAAAACCATATTCCAAATAAACCTATTTTCCTTTTCACATTAATGTAATTATTATTATTATTACTATTATTTTAAATACACATCTAGAAATAGTCAACCCACGAGAGCAATAAAGCTGTCTGTACCCACCAAGTCTCCCAACATCTCTATTATATGGTTGTGTCTTTTCAATTCAAAAGCTGAAGAAGAAGCCAAAGTGGACTGGCCAAATTTCCAATGACTGACTTGCATTCCTTGTTTGAAACTCAAGCTCTCTAAAACACCCAAACACAACTTTCAACCATCTTCTTAAATCTTCAGAGAGAGAGGACACAAATAGCTAAAGAGAGAGACAGAGACAGAGGAGGATGACTTGTTTTGTGCCCTTCAACAACAGAAATTTGGATATAAGCTTCTTTGTTTTCAGGCCAACAGTGGTACTTGTTGATGAACTAGTGGATGCCCTCAAACACATCTCTTTATGCACTGAAAGCCTTGGTTGTGTTCATAGTGCTATTTTTAAGAGCATCCATGGCAATATGGTATATATGACTCTCTTTTAGCTTTTCTCTTTATGTCAAATGTTTGTCTCTCTTTTTTCCAGATTCATCAACATTTCTTTTTTGATTGATTTGAATATGATAATAATGCTCTCTCTAGGAACACCGAATTCGCGCCTTAGAAATTGAAATTGGAATCCGAGAAATTTCTAAGTTTCATCTAAATTTTCTCCAATTTCAATTCCAAGATGCTGGTTTGGTACTCCCCAACACAACAAAGAGAATTCCAGTTTCATTGCTATGTTTTTTTTTTTGGGTATTTGGAATTTGATTTCACTCTTCCTTCTTCAGATCATATTGTTTGGAGCATGGATGAAGAGGTCTAATGAGAACAAGGAGTTATTAACTGCAGCCCTTGTAAGTTGATCAATTGCTGGTTTTTTTTTTTTTTTTTTTTTGGGCCATTAATTAAGTTGCTATGTATGATATAATCCTGATTAAATTTTCATTTAGTAGATTATACAATTAAAATTTCACTAAGTTTCAGCACACAACAATCTCAACATAATTCATTAATTCTCTGGTTGAAAGTTATATATATGATGAAACACTAGTTAGGCACCAATTTCATCTTGTAAACAAAATCACAATGTACTGTACTACTGTTTGTTCTCTTGTATCTATCCATCTATCTATCCCTCTCTTTCTTTCTCTTCCTTTTTGTGTGTCTGAGAGATAGGATTTGGGAGAGGAGGAGGGGGGGGTTAAATAAGACATCCTGGGTTGTTTCTTTGGCATCTTTTCAATTTTTTATCCTCGGATGGAACCATGAAAAATACATAGAAACAGTGAGTAGCAAGAACTTCTAACATGGCATTTTGTTCAATGAGTGGAAAAGAAGCTTCAGGCAAATATATATATATATATATATATATATATATGAACATAAACAGATTATTTATGACACTTAAATGATCTCTCAGTTTCAAGGGTATCACCAAGTCTGTTGGCGTAGAAAAATTGGTTTGCATCTAGATGATTAAATAATGGAAATTGATTGAAGAACAACCATATGGACTTACTTGTTCCACAATCCCATCTTTGTCTTGACTATTGTGTTATATATAACGTTAAAAGAGCTTAAATGTGGAGCTAGTGGTGAGAAAAATGATGGTGGTGTATTCCAAAAACCTTTGCAGCCAATCTGCACCACAAAATTCCATCACATAACACGAAATCCGTGGCCAAAATTTGAATATTAGGGTAAATGTAATCAACACATTAGTAAATATCTACTATAATCTATTCTCGTAGACTCTTTGACCACATGAAGAACGTTGTTAAAATGAAATAATGTCATGCCACACATCTCCTTAGTAATTTCTTTTCTTCTTTTTTCAGCTATCAATGTTAACAAATGTATCAAGCATGGCCATCTTAATTGATCATTGCTTTTTCGATGCATTTGCCGGAGAATCAATGGACGGCTCCCCAGCCGCCAAATTCTCCACCGGGGACACAATTTCCATGAATGCAGCTGTGCTTACTAGTGACGACATCAGTGAAAATGACCTCTCTTATGCATGCTTAGCCATATTCAAATCCCGGATCACGAAGATGGATGGTGCTGCTGCTGGTGTGTGCTTGAAATCCCAAGGTCAGCCGAGGGTCATTGCTGTTTGCGTATGGAAATCCCTGCAGTCCTGCTACTCATGGATCCTAAATACGGATTATAGGAAAACGGTTCTACCATACTTTGATCGGGTTTCGATTGATCTCAAGTATGACATCTTTAGGGTTGTTTATGTGAGTGGTGACAATGTACTAAACTTTCAGCTCATCCCTCCTCATCAATTGTTGGAAAATAGTGTAGAAAGTAATGGAAGCCAGGTAATGCAGGATTGATGGATATGTAACTTTTTGGTTTGCACCCAAATTTTGATTTTGAGATTGATTCAATTCATGGAGTGTAAAAAACAAGAGATGAAGTATGTTTGTTGTTGGTTTAAAGGAAATAGGAGTCGCATATTGCATTCTACTTCAGATTTTATAGTATAAAATCAAATTGAACTCTTATCTAAATGCAAGTGTTACAATTACTAATTTCTGTGATGAACTAAGAATATTGATAAATGGCACAACTTTAACATGTTATCACAAGTGTTATCGTTTGGTTGATGAGAAAATTGATGTGACTCATATTTTTCTGGTTAAAATGGACTTCATTTTATAGGGAATGCATCTCTCATGTGATGCTTTTAATCTTTTAAGATCAAAACTAAGGCTAAAGCCTTTACTAACAAGGCTTTTAAAACAAATTGGGCCAGTCCAAGAACCAATAGTATATGGGAGGGATCAATAAACTTGTTTGGATATAGCATGTGACATCGCACATGGTCTATTGTAGCCTAGGGTGAGATTGTTGAGACTTGTATGTGTAGATGGATGGATACTTTCAAATTGTGTAGATTTATTTTGAGAAAACTCGTGAATACAGAAATTAAAATGTACCACATACAATAACTATATGAACGGGACGTGATATAGAAGAAGATAATCAATTTAGACTTGTAAATAGATTGGATTTGGATCGGATTTGAATCCGATAAGGATACATTCGATTCAATTCGATAATTGACGAATATTTTGTAAATCAATCCATATCCGATTTATTAATAAACGGATATCTGATCCGATAATCTGGCCCGATAAGTGTGTGTACTTTTTTTTCATAAAAAAAAATTTTAATAATAATTTCAAAAGAGAATAATAAATAAATAAATAAAGATAAATAAAATATAAGAAAAGAAAATTAGATCTTTTACTATTGTTAAAGAATAAAAACTTTAGAATAAGAAAAAATAGAGAGGGTAAAAAAGAAGATGAGAAAAAATATTATATATCATAAAAGTAGATTATATATTTTAATATATTATATAATATATTATTTAATATATTATTTCGGATCGAATGGTTATAATGTTATCGGATCGGCTATAATTCATATTCGATTTATTTAGTTAAAAAATTATAGAATTCGAATCGTTAATGGATTATCGAATTAAATATTCAATTCATATTTAAATTATCGGATCAGATTCGAATCGAACTCAAATCAAAATCCGGTCTAATTGATTTTTGGTAGTGGCACGTAGTTCGTGCAGGGCAAATTCTGGAGTGGATTCTATAAATCAAGGGAAATTACCTTATAGCCCTTTCTTCTATGTTAGGTCACCCTAATGAAATTTCCGTGAAGAATAAGTGATTTGCCACAATCAGTAGGTGGTTTCTGTCTCTCTGTCTCTCTCACACGCACACACACAAAGTGATGCGTCACGAGAGAAAATTTTATGCTCCCTCTCGGCTCTCCTTCAATCAATTATTAAATGAAAGGTTGACATAGCAGGGGTTGAATGAACAAATTAAATATGAAGTATTAGTGGATGTCTATCTTCAAATTAGAATCATCTTCTTTTTTTTCCCGAATAAATTGGAATCATCTTCAATTTGTTCATTTGTAAGTAGCTTATGCGTGTGTTCACAAATAATGGAAAACTACTTGGTGACTTTTGTTTGTAAAATTAAATCATTAATGCATAAACAAATTGCAACTGTTTTTATAAATATCTTCATCTTATTTCTTTGTTCTCAATTAATATTAGCCTTTAGTTCAACTTCTATTTCACACCTTGGCTTCCCACTCTATTCCTATGATGATGCTAGCACATAATGTAGTCTTTTCTTTCAACTTCAAAGCCTCCATTCTATTATTACACTTCAACCATTCTTCAACTATACTTGAGTTCTCAATTGTATCCATATACACAATTCTTTTATCATGCTCATCTCCTTCAACACCCTCGTCAAAGCCTCGTCGTATCGGTGCGTCATTCCGGCCAGTCACTGAACCATATCGGATTACAGCCAGTTGCCACCCGGGCCGCCTTGGACGAGACAGGGTCGATCCCGTGTGAATGAGTGTGAAACATGATGAGAAAAGGCCTCTCAAGTCTCAACCCCACCCATGTACAGCCTCTCAACCCCACCCATGTACAAAGGGGTTGGGGTTGTTGGGTGCCAACCCTACCTTTAACGGGTTCCATTATTATTGATAGTGAGTGCCCCCTGGCCTTATCACTATTCCATTCCTCTAAACAAGTCCAGTGTGTTCCCACCACCCCCCACATGTCAGTCAGCACGCATCAAAAAGCACAGCCTAACCTTTATGCATGGCAAACCAGTCCCACAAGTAAAAGAAGACCCTATATCAAACAAACTAGAATTTAAAAAAAAAAAAAAAAAAACGCACACACACACAAGGATAAGTAGTAAGCATACATATGATCGACAGAAACCGACTATGCTATGGTCCATTTGTTAAGGTACCCTTTCTTTTTGGTCCATTGTTAAGGTACCTTTAAATGGGCGTCCCTAAAAAAATGGGATTGATTCCATTTCAATTTCAGTTGAACTTTTGCTTCACATATCCATTCCAGAATCAAATCTAAGAACATAACAAAGGCAATAACTATTTTGCACATCATATAGCACAAGTTATCCTCGAAAAATTTCCAACTTAATTGACTCTGTATCCAAAGGCTAGATGACCTGAGTGTCATGTTAAATCTCATGTAACTTCTTCAGTTCTTCAGAAACTGATTGCAAGATGACAAAACAACTATATCTTCACAATATTAGTCTCTCTTAATAGATACCGTTTGTATATATTCCAAAAGGCAAATAAAAGAGATGAGAGATCATAGTATAATTACAGTATTAGCTCATATAAGCTTAAAAGTATAATTAGGCAATCCTTCTCCGCCATATAAGAGTTGGAAGAAATGCTAATATTACAGAAGAGGGACACCGTGACTTAACCGGTTAAACCGTTTCAGTAATCAAGGGACCCCACAGTTGCGATGCCAGCGCACAAATTTCTCGACTCCTGTCTGCCAGCGCATAGTCATTGTAGCTGCTACCAGTGGAGCCTCTAAATTGGGACCGAGTTTAGAAGCTCCAGACCTCGTTTGCCCAATTGCTGCACTTCCTGGCTTGACAGTATCTTGATGCACCACACACTGTTTACAAACTCCCTGGCATTTGAAAGAAGAATAAAAATACACAAGTGAATGATTGGCGTTTCAAAAGTAGTCCAAGCCTTGAGGCTGAACATGGTTGAAATATGAGCTGAATTTTGTATCATAGAAAACTAAATATAGAAACTCACGGCCAAGGGTCATCACCAAGGAGAAGAACATCATTCTCCCGGTCAACAAATACAAGCTGCCAGCCTGATCTCGGGTCCTCCAATTGGCCTTCAAGGCCAAACATGCGAGCAAGTTCACTGCGTAACTCATTGTAACTGCTGAATTTGGTGATATCTAGTGACCTCCCGAAGGACCCTGACTTGTAAACCTGTTAGTAATAACATTCAGATTAAACACCAATAAGAAGAGAAAAGAAAATGCAAGGCGCGCTACAGATATATCACAAGTAAACGAACAAAACCAAGGCAGGGCAACTTGACAATAAAAAAGAATGGAGGTCACTTTTCCGTTTTTTTTTTTTTTTTTTTTTTTTTTTGTGTCTGTTTTTCTCCCCAAAAATGCGGGACATTGGGAGAGTGGACTGAACAAAACTACAAAACAAAACACCAAAAAGACTGTAAAAGAACAAGTATTACACTCATATCCATAAATCATACCAGAAGTCATAAAAATATACACAAAATGAGGTAACTTACCTTAACAAAGGTTCTATTTGGTGGGTTTGCTTGACCCGCATTTTCGGGAGACTGCAGGAAACCTGATTCATCAATACAACTGGAAGGCGTCATTGCCGGATTAAGTGCAAAATCGGTGCCTGTAGTGCTCAAATAATTGGAAGAAGCAATGGGTAAAGATGTGGAATCACCATCACTACCAACTCCCCTAAGACTTGCCATCCCATTCTGCATTAGAAGAGCTGAGGAATCGATATTAACCCCAAACAAAAGATGGCTATGGGGATCGTTGCTCCCTTCCTGATCAATTGAACACTCTCTACCAGGAAATGGCGGCAATGAAACAGCATTTTGAGAGAGGTTCGTATTGGTTGGTCCTAACTGTTCCACCTGGGGCAAAATACATTGTGATGCTCCAGAGGGAAGCGGATCAATGGCAACTCGCTTTGGTGGCCAGCCAGCGGAAGATAACAAGGAATAGCTTCTAGGCAAGTTGAGTAGCTGGGACGTTTCATCCTGGGGGAATGAACCCAAAAGACTTTGTAGAGGAGAAGCAACAGAATTGGTTCCATTTGAGCTGGAAAAGCTCTGCTGTTGGCACATGGAAGAGATAGCTTGAAATGAGGGTGACTGGGCTTGAGAGCTTGAAGCAAACTGAGACAGTCCAGAGACAACACTTGAAACCTGCTGAGGATCAACCAGCTGCTGCTCCTGCTGCTGCGACAGTGGAGGCTGCTGGTGCTGATTGGTGAATGAATGCAGGTGCTGCAATTGTTGCTGAAGAAGATGAGACTGTGACTGACCCTGAGACTGGCCCTGGTTCTCTTGAACGCTTTGCATAAAGGAAGGTTGAGGCTGAGACTGTTGTAACATTTGGGGTGGCATTAGACCAGCAGGCCCGTTGGTTACACTTTGGAGTTGCTGGAATTGCATAACAGATGGAGGTGCCTGTTTGGAAGGATCCATACCCCTCATTTCCTGAAGAGCAGCAGCAGCCATAGCTTGGTATATGTCACTTTGCATACCATTCATGGAAGCATCAAGCCTTGGCTGCATCCAGGGGTTGACTCCAATTCCCTGAAAGTTGAGAGATCGGATCCCTCGATCCCCATTATCTCCACGAAGCCACATAAGTGGAGAATTCATTCCCAGATCATCATCCCTGATTCCTAAGTGCATCAGAGGATACAGATCAAATACAAATATACATTCTATCCTTGATTTCTAGTTACAATAATAATAATAAATTAAAATAGTTCACTCTCCAAAGTAGTAGGTAAGTATACCACTCAAAGAGGGTAATCCAGGCGGCCATGGTTGCTTGAACCTCAGAGGGAATGCAGATGGATACATGGGGAATGCTGTTAGTGGTTCAATCTCCCACAAGGACACTCTTGGCTGCCTTTCCCCAGCTGTGGACTCATCCCAGCCAACCTGCATTAACCAAATCAAAGTTCATGAGATTCACGAGATTCATTTTCAGAACCATATTAATGACACAAAATTGAAGTATTAACGCATTTATTCGTCAACCATGTTCTCTTGAAAAACATCAAAATAACTAAATATAAATTGGGAAAACAGTGATGTACAGACCTTCACTGAGCGCCAATACGAGTTTGGCCACCGAACAGGATCCAAGTCACTTATGCCAGTTATGGTTCCCATGTAGCTGAATAAAAACACAGTTGTCAGATTTCCACTATGAAACAACTACCACACTTAGCCTTGTATGAAGAAATTCATGCTAACAAAAGGAAAAAATACAGAAATGTGATGGTATTTGGTATTTATAAAAACAATGACTAAATATCTAACCAACAGAAACTACTGAAATAAAAGAAGAGCAGCTGTATCCAACATTCCATTGTTCCCCATGGAAGTCCAATTCCACAATCAACTGATTCCAAAGGAACTCTTTGTGAACTAACCAAAATATATGGATAACGGCTGTAACTTTAAAACCACATAAGAGTTTTCAGTTTTCACAGAAATCCCAGACACAAATGCTGAAACTTTAGTTTCAAATTTTCAATTCTGACCCTTAACAATACAAGAATAAAAACCCCAAACAATGCAAGAATCATAAAGCTAACAATAATTCAAGACTTGAGAAACCTACCGACGGACACTTGATTCTTCAGTTTCAAAAAGCATTCGGAAGCGCATGCCAACAGAAACTCGAGTATGATAGACTGCTTTAACATATTTTGCCAGAGGTATGACGAATTCTGATGGGCTTGCCCTGTATTTAAGAGATTCAAATCCAAATGTAAGGAAGACTTTAAATGGTATTTTTTTGTCCACATGCAATGAAACATACCTTGGATTATAAAATATGGTGAAGCGGCTATTAGTTGCGGCCGCATGAGCTGCAGCAGCAAGAAGCCCTAAGTGCATGCTGTCACTTGATAAAACTGAAGAAGGCATCACTGTTTGTGGTCGATTAGCACGCCGTATACCAAGGAGCAATTGATTCTTCTCGTTCCTGACAGAAGAAAAATCAGCTTCAGTACAAATGTTGGCTAAATAGCTGAATTCATAATAGAATATTGGGATCAACATGGTAAAAAAAGAGAAAAATACATAAAGAGAGACGCGGAGAGAGAGAGAGATAGATTTGCAACTTAGAAGGTCAGCCAAGGAAACACTTAAATCTAAATCTCCAATAAATGAACTATGGTAATAATTTTTCACTTTTATGCTTCTGATTAAAATCAACCTGATCATGGGATTGGAAATTTTTTAACACCTAGTGAGATGTTTTTCAATGACCATCCAAGTTAGAATCAGCAGAAAAGATATGTCTAGGAGACAGTGAACCTAAAAGTAATTATTTCATGACATAGGACAAAAGCCCTATAATAGATCTATTCTCAGGCTGAAAGAGGATAAGACAGTAAAGAGAAGGTAAACACAGAGAAGGAGCCGATTGCCCACCATATGAAAAGGACTGAATCACCAGCAACAAGTCTTTTTGCACTTACGAACACACTCCATCCTGTTGTAAGAAGATGCCGCTTTGGCTGGCCTGCCATAGAATAGAACCGACAATTGCTAAGAATAATATAACAGGCTTCCAGCAATCATTTTTCAACAATATAGCGTGACTACTCCATAAAACTTGGATTCTGATCTGTGTTTACACACAATATTTTTTATATTTCATTTCCAATATTTATCTGGCTCCCAACAGGGATTTTGAACAAAACCCGAAGGCCTAAATATTTGATTTAGAACCTAACATTAACCAGTGAAGTTTCAAAAGAACAAGTAAACTCCTAAATTTTAGGTTTAGAATGATGAGCAGTGAACACCAATGACAATAAGAAAGGCAGAGCCAATCCTATCGTGAAGCAGAATTACTGCTTTGAGCAAGAGGAGCATAATCAAGTTATTATATACAAACCTGACCTTCGTAATGCAGTACCAATGCTTTGAGCATGATGTTCATGCAATGAGGTCTAGGACATAAAATACTTTATAGTATGTTATGAGTATAAATACAAGTTATAACATATTTATGAAGTGGAGGATATTAGATTGCACTGCATGATGCAGGTCCATATAGAAGGACTCCAGTAAATGGAAGGTAAACCTATAACAACTAATGCTGTGTCTGTTACAAGGATAGAAAATTGGAAGGGAAGGGAAGGGAAGGGAAGGGAAGACAGGTCCTTAGGAGCCTCTCTCTCTTGTTGCTCGGTTGAGTAGAAATGAAATGGAGATGGAAAGAAAGGATAGACTAATATGACCATTACATCCTTGAATATAAAAAACAAAAGGTTATGTGCTAGGGTAAAAAGCTAAAAAGAGAGATGTTTTCCTCATCTTCACTGCCCGCTTTTGGGCACAAGCTACTTGTAGACCCGGAGGGAGACCTCCCTCCTCCCTTACTTTCCCTTGGCCCTTCACATCTACCAAGGAAAGAACATATCTTCCCTGCTTCCCTCCCCCATATCAAGCATAGCACAAGTCTCAAGTTCCGTTTCCAACAAGAATACAAGCGCGAAAACTTGATAACTTCATGACAAGGCCAAGCAAATTCTAAACAAAGGGGGAAGAAGAAGGGCCATCTCGTCAGAGATAACAAACAGCACATTTGATTGCATTGGCTGCTCTCCCCCCTTCCCCCAAAAAATAAAAAAAATAAAAAACCACCCAGTAAGTTCTCTTTAAACACTCACCACGAAATATATGTCTAAATTTCCATTCATTATCATGCAGATCCCTTGCAATTAATTCTTGAGCTGGAGGCTGCTGGGAGAAATCCTGTAGGTCAAAGGCATGATTTTTGATACGCATGTGATAAAGTTGAAAAAATCTTTAAACTGGACAATTTAATTCTAGCACAAAAAAGATTTACCAGTGGAGGAAACACTTTTTCAGCTGCCCGGCGAGGAACTGAGAACCCTCCATGAGTACTTGTGTCACTGGCCGTCAATGTTTTGCAGAAATAGTTTGTAGGCTGTTTGCTGGGGGCACCCAAATCAGCTGGAAGGAACACATCCTTTTGCTCTTGCTACATAAAAAATTAAATCAGAAAGAAATCGAAGAAGACCAGAAGACAGGAAAATAAAACCTAACTGAAAAAGATTAGCATACCGAGCTCAGGGGTTGCAAGGTCATCTGAGCATATACCTCATCTGTCTCCACATCTGCCTGAAGTAAACAAATATTGAGTCTCCAGAACCAGCCTAATAAATATCCAGAACAAGGAAATGAAACTAAAGATTTCTTACATGCATGGTCACACTGTGAAGCTGACAGATGAGTTGTGGTGGTAAGCTTGGGTAGTTAGGGATATGGGCATCAACTTCCCTGTTTGTTGATGCAGCAACCTACATAAATTGCAAAAGAATTTGCCCGACATTATTAAAAAAATTATTAAAATGTGTAAATAACTTAACAAACTCAAATTCAGTGTACAAAACCATACTGATTCAACTTTTAAAACTAAGGTGCAGCAATTTAAATAGTATACAGGCACTAAAAACCATAGTTACTAATTCATGAAATGGGAAAAGTATGGTCGTTACTTTTTGTATAGTATATTTTAAATCATATGGTGAACATTTGGTACAAAAAGAAAAACAAAAGAAAAAGAGAGAGAGAGAGAACGTGTATGCTGATATATATGAGTATCATACATATATTAGTGAAAAGTTTGGGACTAAAAATACAGCATCGAGCATCAATCATATCAAAGAACCAATCTATGTTTAGCATATATACACTTATCAATATGAACAGACAATTCTAAGGAACAAAGTGCTCGTAAAATAGATATGTGGTAAGCAAGAAACAACAAAACTAAAAATGATTACATTCATGAAACTATTAAAGAGACACACATTGGAGATAAAATGAGAGAAAATCGAATAAGATGGTTTTTTCATGTGCAGCAAAACCAATAACTTCACCAATGAAGAAGAGTGACATGGTCCACATTGAGGGTAATGTGGGGAGAAGAAGAAGAAGAAGATCAAATTTAGCATGAGTTGTTATATATATATATATCATATTGTTCAGCAAAAAGCTAAAATATTTATGCTCAGAAACAAGCAAACTGAAGTCCAATCTGAAAATGTAAGCAGTGCAGAGAGTCTATCGCTAAAATATCATGGAGTAGCAAAGAACTTTTCAAACCCTTCACAAGTTCACATAGTTTAATGGTACTCTTAAATAACTACCAAATTTATTGATGTTTTGTTTCCAAACATAGAAAAAAAAAAAAAGCACCTGTAAAGATAGACAAACATAAAACAGTTTTCCTTTACCGCAAAGTAAAAAAATTGTATATGTTCTTTGCTGAGCAAACATAAATAAACACATTGTCCACATTGCATGGGATTTGGGATCAATTTCAAAATCTAAAAGCAAAAAACAGGGAGTATAAGTTATAACCAACCCATGTAGGCTGACCTGCTCGCTATGACCCTGAGGGAAATATACCACGCGGTTGCCGACAGCAGGTAGAGAAACAAGAGGACCCGCACATGCATGCCAAAGTTCAGAATTCAGACATCTCTTCTCCCCTGCCAATTTAGTTCAACAGCAAGAAAATCTTCAATGAATACACTTGTAGGTTTCAAAGTCTTGATTATAAAGCCACCAATTAGAAAAATCAAGTTTGCACAAAATTCCATCTTGGGGCTTTCACAATTATAAGCACATTCAAGAATGATGTGCCTCTGGTAATAGTATTTATCATAATGAAGCTACAAATAATGCAGCAAGTCTCTCGTTTTACACCAAAAATGTTATGAAACTCAACAAATGGGACATGACAACACCAAGAAAAAGACACAAACCCAGCAAAATTCAATGGCACTAAAGCCATCTCAGATCTCAAAATCACACACTAAGGTCAACCCAAGAATTCAGTCTGGCTAGAGAAGCTAAAACAACAGCATCTGGCAGATGAAGGAAGTGCTACATAATACCCGAAACCCAGGAAAGAGGGACAAAGCGGCAACACAACAGAACGAAATTTAAAAGTGACACCCAAAATACCAGATCATGAAATGAAGAAGTCACTGCAATAAGTGATTTTATCCAAGAAGCTAAACTTGTCGAATATTTTAATTACAGAAAGAAAAACAGATGTCCAAACCAAAAGATAACAAGGAAACAAACATGGATATACACCAAAGATTCAAACAAACCAAAAAGCATACCTTCAGGAGACTGGTGTGTGAGACCAGCAGAAGAGAGCCTCATATCTGCAGATTGAAGAATAGCTTCTAGCCCCAGATTTGGATCCACGAAAAGTGACAACAAAAACAAGAACTACTATCCCCAACAATTCAGCACTAAATTCTCCAACAATAGACCCCCACAAAACTGAACAAGCGATTCTTCCACATCCTTTCCACTCAAAAACACCATAATACCTTTAATTTGACCTCCCAAAACCCACCTAAAACTGAATTTAATAAAATTCCTTACTTTGTCCCATCGAAAGCCATTTTAATCTGATTGTGTAACTTAAAAAACACCACCACCACCTACCCACCAGATTTGTGCTAAAATAAAATGATGATCTTGTATGTAGAACCTTTATATATATGAAGAAGATAGAACAAAACCAGTTATACCCCCTCCAAAATCTTCAACCGAAGCCGGTTTCGCTACAAAACACGATCCACTTCAGCTTCATCCGCTCTTGATCCTCTTCACCCAACCCCAAATACACCAATCTTTAACGAAGAAATTCATATGACAATTCTTCAACGAATTAACCAGCACATTTCCAGCTCAAACTCCAACATAGCACTCGTAGAAACCCTGATTGCTTGTTTCTTTTCTTGCAAGTCCGATTGCTTGTTTCAACTCCAGAAAAACCTCACAATTCGCAACCATGTGAAGCTCGTGAGCTTCCAATTCTTCAAGAACCAACCATTCCAGGCCCTCAAATACAAAACACCACATGAAAAAACAACGAACTCTTCAGATCTCGGCTCCGCTCAGCGACAATCGAAGCAAAACCCAAATGAAACCCTAATTTCGAGCTTGATAATTACTCCCCCGGAAACCCTTGAATAAAATCAGATCTCCGAACTAATTTCACAGATTCAAGTCACAATCGAGCATCTTCGGAGCTTATCAAGCTAAAACACAAAATGATATTCGATTCAAAGTAGAGACTTATGCAAGGTCATACAGAGAATATACATACATATTATATATATACTCCTATATATGTATATAAGTGTGTATATGGATGGGTGTGAAGATTTAGAGGACTGAAGTAGAAACTTAGGGGGTTGCAATAGTTTCCACGGATGGAAATGGAAGGTACTGACAGAGTACTCCTACTGGGTCACTCTGTTTCTCCGCTCGTGCTTTTTACTTTCTCTATTTCTTTCTCTTTCCTATACCCCAATCAATCCACACAACCGCCATAGGTTTTTTTGATGTCGTTTTATCCTAGTAGAGTGAATACGGAGAGTGAATGAAAATTGAAAAATAAAGCGTATGTAGATACAGAAAGCCTGTTGCTAGATTTTTTTTTGAGCGAGAATTTAGAGAGAGAAAGTGAGGCCGACTTTTTATGACTGTTTCAGTCCATTTAGGAAATACGATTTCTGTATGTTACATAAGTTATCCTCGAAAATCAATATATTTACTAACTTACCCTTTTTGGATTTTTTTTTAAAAGAAACAGAAAATTTTAAAAAAAATTAACTATTTGGTTAGCCTGAAAGTTGTATAATTATATTTTCCCGTAAAAATTGTATAATTATATTTTAATTCCCTATTCTGCCCTTATTAATTATTTATTCATTCATCTCTTTCTTCATAGATATATTATAATTCTGTTATTAGATTATGATTCTTAAAATTAGGACTCTTTTCCGCTCACAAAAGAAGTGAACTAATATAATGCAGTAGTAGAGTCCTAATATATATTGCAACCTTAAAATAAAAAATTAAAATTAAAAAACTATTCAATTACCAAATTTGTATTTGGACACACACACACACACACGTGTATATATATATATTCATAACCCAATCTTATATACTTTTTATGCTATGTATATTATTTATATTAAATTAGTAAGGGTAGTTTTGGTATATAAAATTATTTTCTTTTCACTTTCATCCAAACTCATGGAACAATATTTTCTCACAATTTTTTTTAAAAAAATTCATGTTAACCAAATGCATAATAGAAAGTAAATTTTCTTTTCCTTTACTTCACTTTCTTTTTCTTTCACTTTCCACCATCAAATTTCGATTAACCAAACAGACCCTTAGTCTTTCATACAAGGCCTCAAAAAAAGATTATGTCAATTTAAATATTATTACAATACTATACATGATTTGCATATGATTTGTTAGTTGCTAGTAAATGCTTTAGGTATAACTGCGTTGGTAGAAATTTAAAAAATAAGTCTTTAAAATTTTGATTTCAACCTGACTTAAATAGTGTGTGTATTATGAGACCAATACATTTGTCCTAAGAAAAAAATAAAATAAAATAACAACTAACAAATGGTTAATTTTTCATTAAAATTGAATAAATAAATAAAGTATTACAGATCAAATATATTTACTTTGGAGTTTTTTTTTAACACATATTTACTTGAGAGTTTACTAGTTCAAAAGTGATAAATTTATGTTGCATGTGAAACAGAGCATTAATGGAATATGAGAATTTCATAAAAATATAAAAGATTATTCAGTATCTGTTATTTTGACCTTCCCAATTGATTGCGATAGTAACTTTGAGTGTAAAAAGTCAATAAGATCTTAATTTTTATATAAGAGAATGTCAAAAAATTTATATAAAGGAATAATAAAATTATCATTTTATAAAATTTAGTCAATATATTTTGTTAGAAAGAAATTGAGTGCAGGCCTCAAAATTCAAATCTTAAATGAGATTGAAGTAAAAAATAAATAAATAAATAAAAATAAAAAACACGCGCGCGCGCGCGCGTAGGAAATATGTAGCAATGTATTGTAGTAGTAAATAGCATGCAAAGGTGGGTTGGGTTATGGAGCAGTAGAAGCCCAATTAGGAATGATAGTGATTTTGCAAATTGCTTGACCCAATTTTGACTATGGAGTCAACTTCATGCAGCTTATGGAAATAATGGAGCCGTCGGCTGCAATTAATAATTATTTTTACAATTGTGGATGAATTAAAAAATAATAATGTAAGAATATGGTTTGGATAAGTTAAATTAAAGCATGCATCACAAAAAGGTAGTTGTTTGGTTGTGGAAATAGAAAAGGGGTTTTAACACTCACTTTCCATTTGAGTGTTTCCGTCTCTTTTTTGTTTTCCTTTCCTCTCCCTTCATTATTATAATTAATTTATTTTTTTTCCTTTTTTAATTTAATTTAATTTAATATGACTGGGCTCAATTCCACACGACAAAAATGATTTAATTTAATATGATATGGCTCAATTTCACATGCCAAACATGATTCAAAGGTAAGCTTTCATTTTGTAATAATTTAACTCCTTTGTCTGTATTTAAAAGTACTAAATCAGTATTTTGAAATTAGATATTTTAAAGAAATTTTATAATTAAATTTGAAATAAATTTCCTTTCATTTCAATTATAATGGGTCGATTTGATATTTCCATATACAACATTAATGCAATATTAAATTAAAATGATATAAATTGCTAACAAAAGAGAGTGGTGATTATCGAATTTAATTTTTTATGTTTGAAAAATATTAACATTTCTAATTTTGATAAGAAAACCCCTTTCAATTATCTCTTTTTAAAAACCCTATCAATTATCTCTTCTTACAATTTTTTGGAAAAATTACTAAAATTCAACCTCATCTAAATAAATAATTGTACAACAATACTAATGATTTGTTAGTTTTAGTGAGACTCATGTTAGGGTATCAAATTTTTTTACTTAACTCGGGCTTTTCGAGACTTCTCTCGATTAATTCCCGATGACTTAAAAAAAGTGTCACCCTATCCCAAATAAAATAAATTGTTGAGTATGACAACAATAACATAGCCCTAAGTAAATATCATCATAAACGAATGTATGTATAAAATAAAGTCACTGTTTCTAGTCTGTGACTCCTTGTATTATGGTCACAAACTTTATGAATAGAATATTATAATTATCAAAAAGGGTTGGAATGAAACAGTAGCAAAGGATTAACATTCTACAGCATATAAATTCAGGTGACAAATTTAGATAACATCAAATAGCAATATTGGAAATTGCATTATGTGGCGGCTATGAAGCACGGACACTCTTCTCAGGGGTCCCGTACTCGTGTCGGATACTTTTCGGACACCGACACCCGTATCCGAGGCTCGGACACGTGTCCGACACTTCTATAAAGTGTCCAAATATTATTTTTTATTGGACACGTGTGTCCGAGGCTCGGACACATAGTTCGACACTTTTGCGAGACAAAATTTATTTTCTCACTCCTCTCAGTCTCTCATATTCTTCAATTATCTCTTTTCATGAACAAGATATATATATATATATAAGTTACATGAACAAAACTTTGTGAAAGACTAAAAGTATACATGTTTATTCATATACATATTTAGTTCATTATAGTTATGTCTCTTCTGCACATCTTCGTTTGGAATTTGGATCAACTTTATTTTTTATTTATTTTCTGTTTTGTCTTGTCTATATTTTTCTTATAATAGAGATGAAATTATTGAAATTGATTTTGTTATTTGTTGTTGTTTTATTTATCTGTACAAGATTCTAGTAATTATATTTTGAATATATATATATATATATATAGATATATATAATTTTACAGGCGTATCCCCGCCGTGTCCGTGTCCTATTTTTTAAAAATTTGTCGTGTCGCCGTATCCGTGTCGTGTCGTACCCGTGTCCCGTATCCGTGTCCGTACTTCATAGTGTGGCGGTGATTTTTTTTTTTTTGCTTGAGCCTTTATATTGGGAGCGTCAAAGTTTTTTATTTTAAAATGTATTTTTTAAAAAATCAAAACAAGTATATAAGAATATTTTTTTAACCTAGATATAGAGGATTTGCTTGGTTTATATCCCTGAAAACAGTTCTCAATAATTTAGAGAACAAAAAATTGTTTTCAAATAACTATAAAAGACAGTTCTCTAAAAAAAGCTCTTTTATAACTGAGTTTTCAAAAATCAGTTTTCAAAAAACTGAACAAAGTATAACTTTTTGTATACTTTTCTGTTTTCAAATTTTTGAAAATAAAAAACTGTTCTAAGAATTACAAACCAAACATACCCATAACTATTTTATCGATCTAACTTCTTCGGTCTCACAAAAATTGAGCCACTAAATAAATAATAAAGTGTACGACAAGTTTCCAGTATCTTCAATACTCCTTTTGTGCCTTTGAAATTCTCAACAGTCACATTAATTTTTTTTTTTGTATTTTAAAATATGTTGACCACTAATTGTTGTAGTCTAGTGATATCTCATCTACCTCCCAATATAAATTGATAAGCGTTCGAGTTTTATTGTAAGAATAAATGGGTGTGTATAGTTTTTGGCCAATGAAAAATAAAAATAAATACTCTATCCCTTCCAAAATTTTTGTTCATCTGTCTATTTTGAAATGTCACAAATAACATGTCTAATTTCAAAAAGAGATGTATTATTTTTCATAACTTTTCTAAACTATTATTTTGACATTAACTTGATTAAAAAAGTGCACAAATTACGAAATATTTATTTGTCTTTAAACAAGGATAAATTAAAAAATTCACTCTTATTAATATAATAAATATATATATTTTTTCCTAGTTGGGAAACTCACACACACTGTCTCCACTGAGGTTCGAACACCTAACCTCCCTTTGAGAAGTAGGAGCTTTATACCAATAGGCCACAGGTTTGTTGGTAATAATAAGTAAATAAAAAAAATTAGAAACCACTTCAAGTTTTATTTAAGAATAAATGGGTGTGTTATAATTTTTTTACCAATGAAAAATAAAAATAAATATTCTATTCCTTCCAAAAAATTTTGTTCATCTATCTATTTTGAGATGTCACAAAATACACATCTAATTGCAAAAAGAGATGTACTATTTTTCATAGCATTTTCAAACAATTATTTTGACATAAACTTGATTAAACAAGTGCACAAATTAGGAAATATTCATTTGTCTTTAAACAAGCATAAATTTGAAAATTCACTATTATTAATTTAATAAAATATATATTAAAAATCCATTATCATAAAAAGTTGAATTCTCCAAATACCACCAATAATTTTGGGACAGAGAAAATAATAAATAAATAAAAAACAAAAGAACGTTGATTGTAATTTTTGCATACATTTTGTCAAATCATAATAAGCTAAAACCTCATTAACAAGAGGTTAATAACTTATTTAGTTCAGTTTTTTCAGAACAATTTTTTTAAATTTATATAACTATAAATAAATAAAATGTATCAAAACTCTTCTTCATTCATTTTTTAGATAACAATTTTAAAAAAAAATCAGTTATAAATGACTTATTTTTAAAAAATTATCTTTTATAACAGTCTTTTATTTTTTGAATAATATGAATGA